TTACAATACACTAGCTGATACCACACTAAAAACATAGTAAACAGCTTAAAAAGCCATCAGGGGCATATATAAAAAACATTATACGATACTAAAATGTACAAACCAACTAAAATTTAACATTTACATTAGACAATTAGCAAAACAATAGGGCTAAACACTGAATCCACCTATTTAATAGACTATAAAGCCACCCATCTTGACTATCAAGTTTAACTCAACTAAAACTACTTCTATGGTGTGGTTATTTTTTTCTTTTCACAAGTTTAAAAAGTTATCACTTTATTAACAAAACATATAGCCTAGCTTACAAAAATTCAACTGTAACTTAGTTCAGCTGATAAAGATTCAACTTAATCATATCGTCTAGAATACAAAGTTTCCTTCCCATTATTTAGCCTAGAATACAGATTCAACTCTGTAATATTATATTTATAGTTTCAACACAGAACCTAACATACCAACATTCAACACCTAGCCTAGCATACAAACTATACCACCTAACCTAGTCTACAAACTGTAACACTTAACCTAGCATACAAACTATAACACCTAACCTAGCATACAAACATTCAACACCTAACCTAGCATACAAACTCTCAACACCTAACCTAGCATACAAACTATAACACCTAACCTAGCATACAAACTACAACACCTAACCTAGCATACAAACTATAACACCTAACCTAGCATACAAACCTAACCTAGTATACAAACTATAACACCTAACCTATCATACAAACTATAACACCTAACCTAGTATAAAAACTATAACACCTAACCTAACATACAAACTATAACACCAAACCTAGCATACAAACTATAACACCTAACCTAGCATACAAACTATAACACCTAACCTAGCATACAAACTACAACACCTAACCTAGCATACAAACTACAACACCTAACCTAGCATACAAACTACAACACCTAACCTAGCATACAAACTTTCAACACCTAACCTAGCATACAAACTATAACACCTAACCTAGCATACAAACTTTTACCTAACCTAGCATGCAAACCACCTAACCTAGCATACAAACTATAACACCTAACCTAGCATACAAACTACAACACCTAACCTAGCATACAAACTACAACACCTAACCTAACATACAAACTACAACACCTAACCTAGCATACAAACTATAACACCTAACCTAGCATACAAACTATAACACCTAACCTAGCATACAAACTACAACACCTAACCTAGCATACAAACTATAACACCTAACCTAGCATACAAACTACAACACCTAACCTAGCATACAAACTATAACACCTAACCTAACATACAAAATATTACACCTAACCTAGCATACAAACTATAACACCTAACCTATCATACAAACTATAACACCTAACCTAGCATACAAACTACAGCACCTAACCTAGCATACAAACTATAACATCTAACCTAGCTTACAAACTACAACACCGAACCTAGCATACAAACTACAACACCTAACCTAGCATACAAACTTCAACACCTAACCTAGCATACAAACATTCAACACCTAACCTAGCATACAAACTATAACACCTAACCTAGCATACAAACTATAACACCTAACCTAGCATACAAACTACAACACCTAACCTACCATACAAACTTTCACCTAACCTAGCATACAAACTATAACACCTAACCTAGCATACAAACTACAACACCTAACCTAGCATACAAACTACAACACCTAACCTAGCATACAAACTACAACACCTAACCTAGCATACAAACTACAACACCTAACCTAGCATACAAACTACAACACCTAACCTAGCATACAAACTACAACACCTAACCTAGCATACAAACTACAACACCTAACCTAGCATACAAACTACAACACCTAACCTAGCATACAAACTTTCAACACCTAACCTAGCATACAAACTATAACACCTAACCTAGCATACAAACTTTTACCTAACCTAGCATGCAAACCACCTAACCTAGCATACAAACTACAACACCTAACCTAGCATACAAACTACAACACCTAACCTAACATACAAACTACAACACCTAACCTAGCATACAAACTATAACACCTAACCTAGCATACAAACTTTTACCTAACCTAGCATGCAAACCACCTAACCTAGCATACAAACTTTTACCTAACCTAGCATACAAACTATAACACCTAACCTAGCATACAAACTATAACACCTAACCTAGCATACATAGCTTCCACTCCATGAACCATCTTGAGGTGAACATTTCACCGATTAAAATAGTTTGAGGTGTCTGGGAAGCCGGAGGTCCGTGAATATTTGATAGGGTCCTCTTGTGGCTTCCTGTGAAAATGTGAGGGGGACGTCACGTTGAAGCCACGGAAGGACCGGGCTACTGACACGTCTAATAAACTTTCTTCAAGTTAGTCAATTTTATTACTCAGTTTAAATTGCGTTTGCGGGGACGTTTTTTCTCTATTTAAAACCTTTTTTAACGAGAATTTTTTTTTTTTTTTTTTTTTTTTTTTTTTTTTTTTTTGTTGTTTTTTTTTTTTTAAATTTCAATGCAAACTACATCATATAAAATGTCGATTAAGCATATGTTCTGTTTAGGATGTATAAGGGGTAGGGATTAAAATATGCACAGTAAAGCAGTTTTAAAACTTCTAAAAAAATGAACACATGTTTGGTATTCAACGGGTGCAACGAAAATAAAAAGGGCAAACAAAAACATACTCAAAGATGAATGTGGAGGCTTTAAAATGGGCGTCTAGTAAATTACTGTTTGTTGGAATTGGCGGTTCTTTGTTGTTATTTTTTTTTTAAGGAAAAATGCTAAGAACTTACTTTAGTGACCAAACCTGTGTGATGTTTGTTTGTGTTCTATGAAAAAACTTTAAAAAAAGATTAACGTCGGTAATTTAGTGTAATCTATAAATATAGTTGTGTATGCGTGGGAATAAGAATTTTTAAATTTAAAATCGATCATCTTAACACCAAATATAGTGTAGGGCTAGATTTGTAAGAGTTTGAAAAGGAATATTTCTAAACATCTACTGAATTAAGTAAGTGTTAGGGTGCTTGTTTATTTGGCGCAGGACGCTTTGAAAATTTTTGTTAGTATCAGTTTAGAAAGTCTCTGTTTGTGTGTGTGTGTGTGTTGTATGTGTGTAAGTGTGTTATATATATATATTGAGAGAGGAGTTTAAAAGCCCCACCTGAAATATAATGACACACTATGTTAATTTAGATATATAGATATATGTGTTAGAGAACGGACATTAAAAAGATAACAAAAAATAATGTGCATACGATCAGATAACATATGTTGATTTATATTTATTTTAATCACAGCGCATTATTATGATATAACGTCGGCCTATATGGGTGGATGTGGGGGATGTATTTGATCGAAGAAAAAAATCAATGGACATGTAGTGATAAGCCTATAATGTAATTGGGTGGATTGATGTGGATATGTGTAGAGGTATTTTGGAGAAGAGTTGTTTTTTTTTTTCAAACACTGGACATGTATAGTGATAGGCCTGTAACGTAATTCTGTGGATTTATATGGATATGGTTGGATTTATGTGGATGTATTTGAGAGAAGTGATTTTAAAAAAAAAATCCATGGACCTGTATGTAACGACATAAAAGCGTATCTTCTGATCTCCCCTGCCCTGCAGATTTCACTTGAACATTTCACAAAAGCCGCGTCCCGTGGGGCTGATTTCTCCGCACCACATCAAGGGAAACAACTTTTCACGCAGACGGAAATAAATAAGGTTGCGTCCCCTGGTAGGAAGAGCTTTTGTGGCCCTACCGTAGGATGAGTCAGCCCTGCCCGCTCTGATTATTCAGACAATGGCGAATTATTGGAGATAGCACTTGATGTTTCTGAGTATTTTGAAAGTTTCCCTCAATGTAGGCTACACACTCAGATTGAATTGTAGAAATAGGAGTAGATCTACCTCGATTACAACGTGACATATGAGGGTTTTTTTCTTTTTCTTTTTTTTTGTCAAAGATATTTGCAGTAACTTGTTTTAACTAGTTCTGTCTACTGACAATCAGGTTACTTGTATGATCACCTGTAGGACCCAATAACTGTAACCCTGCCAGCAATACTGAGAAAATAAAAATTTGATATGATGTGCTATATTGCTGTATTGCCCTTTGGCAGTCATATTATTTTTATAATGGTTAGATCTAGATCTTTTGGCAAATCTGGAAGTTAAATGTACAAATATTTAGTTTTAGCTTGCAACAAAGAAAAACAGGGGAATTTTTATACCAATGTTTGATAATAGAATCTTCTTTAAAAAAGGGGTGTTACGTTAACTGGTAGTTAACTAAATATACATAGCTGGCTAATGTCAATGCTAACCCTGTCCCTAACCCTAGTCCTACCATAAGCCTAACCCTAATTTCTAACCATAAAATTAGTCAAGGTTAGCCTACAATACTACTAACAAACCAACACATCTATTTTATGGAAAAGTATTATCCATAAATTGGTATCTAAAATCATCCAGAAAATCATTTCTTATATATTTCTATGTACCCAACCTCCGTAGATCTTGTGTTGATAGTAGCAGCAAGTAGCCAACTAATAAATTTTCTTTGTGAAAGCTGTTATGACTTTTATTGAACAACTCTAGTTCTAATATTTTATAGCTTACATTAGGGATCGGCGCGGTCGAATCAGTAAGCTCATGGTTGCTAAACTGAAAAGTTTCGGGCAGATGAGGCGTTAGATGGGGACAAACCACTCTTCTAGGAGAGACAACTCCAGAATCAAACAACTGCTGCCATGTAGTTTGTTCTTGGTTGGACAAAGGCTATGGAAGCAAACCCAAAAAGAAAAGCAGGCTGAAATCGGAGTCAATGGCCTCAATGTTGCATAACCAGTTGACACGTATCCTTAATTGTGTTGTAGTAGATCACCTCCAACACTAGAACGAAGAAGAAGAAGAGATAGCTTACATTAATTGTCTTATAATTAATTATTTTTGTTTTTTTTTCCCCAGCTGAGCTTGTCCTGAAGGGTCCAATCAACACAGCTCAAGTTATTGGATTTGATGTGGTCTTTCATTGTAATCTGACAAACACACAGGATGTTGATAAACCAGGTGAGTTTAGGTCAGGCCTATCTGTATGATTAACTTTATAATAGCGTTGGGATATACAGGAGTTGGTAGGGTAAACATTTGAACAGCAATCTGTATGCTAAATATATAAACACCACATTGTATGCTAAAAATTTGAACAGCATTCTGTATGCTAAACATATGAACACCACATTGTATGTTATTGTTAAGCATTTAAACAGCAATTTGTATGCTAAATATATGAACAGCAATTTCTATGTTAAGCATTTAAACAGCAATTTGTATTCTAAATATATGAACAGTAATTTGTATGCTAAAAATTTGAAGAGCAATCTGTATGCCAAACACTTATTACAATGAATTGGGAATGGATATTATAGTTTTAAAAAAAGGTACCATATTTATCCTTACTATTAATTTCATTTAAATTAAGTTAACACCTTAGACAGCTAACATTTTTAGCTTTAAAGCCAATCAGTATCTTGCGATTTTAACTCTAAACAACAATTATATGCCCTTAGGGGTCATCCATTTATGACGTCCACAACTGACTTTTGTGGACGCATATGGACTTTTATAAGGAAAAAAGTAGATTTTTGTGGACGGGGGGGGGGGGGGGGTGTCCAAAATCCAAAAAAATTGTGGACGTCATAAATGGAGGACCCCTTAGTGTGAAATACACCAACAAATAAGGCACGTAACTGATCGAATAATTGCTATTCCTTCATTCCATTATCTTCTCTTCAGTTACTGAATCTAGTAATATTTCCATATTTTTTTGCTAATTTAATATTTAATTGAGTTGACAGCTAGACATTCATACATTGTCATTTAAATTGAATTTATATGGAAAGTATTCAAGAAATGAAATATTGGTCAAAACTGTGTTACAAGAATTGACCACAAACTCACCTGCAGACATACAGACATTTGAATATATGAAAAAAAGGTTGTAAAATACCCATCATTGTAACTGTCCTCCCCCCCCCCCATCATTTGTTGTTCCCAGTCAACCAGCCCTACACCATAACATGGTCCTTCCAAGCCACGGAGCAGGAGGACACCTCCGCCGTCATGACCATCATCCACCACGGGGACCAGAAGTTCACCTTCATCTCGCCCCTGGACCAGAAGCTGACCGGCGCCTCCCCCCTGGAGCAGAAGTACAGCAACAACCAGACCCAGCTGCTGGTGCGCAACATCCTCCTGGCAGACGGGGGCTGGTACTCGTGTCACAGCAACCTGACCCAGAAAAACCTGGGGGCTAATCTCCTGGTCGTTGGTCAGTCTGATTTCTTACTGTCATTACTGCTTATGTATAAAGGATAAACCATTTTGGACAATGTTTAGACTGCAGAACAAAAATAAGGCTGGGCCAGAGGGTGGGTGCGGGCCACACTGAGTGATATCATTCATGGATGTGGTGAGGGGGGGGGGGGCAACAGAGAGAAAAAAAGCTAACTAGTTAAAAAAGTCTGCCCTTCCTAAGTTTCAGTTAATAAAAAATAAAATGATATTCATCTGTAATTAGAGGGTATCACCATACTGGATGAAGGGAGGACGGACGACGACGACACAACACTAAACTACCTTATTATTTAGGTTATCATATATATATATATATAATAAAAAAAAAAAAAAAATATATATATATATATATATATATATATATATATATATACATACATATACATACATATACATACATATACATACATACATATACATATACATATACATATACATATACATATACATATACATATACATATACATATACATATACATATACATATACATATACATATACATATACATATACATATACATATACATATATACATACATATACAATAAATTATAATATGATCTAAAATAGCTTATTTTTACTATCATTATTGTAGTTTTACTTTTCTCAGTGTTGTTTATTACGTTTTATTTTCACCAGAGCACCCAGTATGTCACAATGACAACCCCGGGGTGTACTTTAGACAGAACATTACACTGGAGTGTATTGTCAAGTACAGTGGCAACAAGCCCCCCTCTGTTGACTGGAGGTCAGCTGTTTACCTGTTTGTTTTAAATCGCACATTTTTTTGTTTTTAATACACTTTTTTAAAACCCAGATTTTTTAATGTTGAGCCTGTTTCAATAAAATCTTCCAATGACATGTGTCCAGGTTTGGCAGCCTGAAGCTCAACTCTACCACTGAGGTGGCTGAGAGCTCCAATACCCTGAGGGAGAGGCTGATCATAGAGGCTAATGATGATATCAGGGGGCACATCTACCACTGCCGTGTCTTCTCACCTGGCTTGATCCCCATTGAGTGCCTGGCGTTACCTGCTATACAGGTGTACAGTAAGTTGGTCTGGTTCCTTGAGTGTCTGATATTAGCTGCCATACAGGTGTACTAATATTACCTGCCATACAGGTGTACAGTAAGTTGGTCTGGTTCTATGTGTGTACTGATATTACCTGCTATACAGGTGTACAGTAAGTTGGTCTGGTTCCTTGATTGTCTGATATTAGATGCCATACAGGTGTACTGATATTACCTGCCATATAGGTGTACTGATATTACCTGCCATACAGGTGTACAGTAAGTTGGTCTGGTTCTATGTGTGTACTGATATTACCTGCTATACAGGTGTACAGTAAGTTGATTAGGTTACTTTTTGTCTGGAGTTTTTACCTTTTTTTTAGCTGCCAGGGTTTCTTTCAGGCATCTTATCAGTTTACCACCCCCACAAAAAAATAGAATTTAAATAGAAAATACATGCTTTTACCAGTGTCTGACACCCACCCCCTCGTGGAAAAGTCTGAAAGAAACACTGCTATACACAATATATATATGGGTGTACAGTCAGTTGGTCTGGTTTCTCCATAATTTCATTTTAGACTTATAAATGTTTATAATTCTATTTGAAAATTGACCTGGTCACATCATTAAGTCAATGCATTTATATTGTAGCTAATGCTCATACATTTTAAAAAAAAAATTTTTTATTAACCACTTCATTCATTTATTAGATCATTTGATACTTACTCTCCACTTCGTGTTTTCAAAAGATAAGACATCTATTTTCTTTAATTCCAGGCCAAGCCAAAGTGATGACAGTGAATGTCTTCCCACATACAAAACACAATGATTTCCCCAGAGGGTCTAATGTCTCATTAAAATGTATAGGTACTGGCTATCCAGGTGAGTCACACACATTTACCTGCGGTAGTTTGTTGGTGGCCAGTTTATTTTTTTCTTTTAGGTTCTTTAGAAGATATTCTATCCTCCTATATGTTTGACTGAGATATCCTGCACTTAGATACTTTGTCTTGTCACTCGTTTAAAAGTTGGGAAGTTGGCAGACTAGTTGAACAATTTTGTTGACATTTTCCCATGTCAGATGTTAAAGCATATGACTTCTAACCAGTCTCGAGTTTGAATCTTTGGGCTTGGGTCAGTAGTTTGTTCCTGAGCCAACCAGCCTCAGAAGGGTTCTTGATGCACATTATGGAAAGTAAAGATGACTGGACATTGTGCTGACTATACTGTACTTTTGTATTTTAAGTTCACAGAAACAGATGAACTCTACTTCATCTACAACATGGATCCCCAGGTTCAAAATGGTAAATTTTTTCATATTTGAAAAGTAAAAAAAAAAATTTCCTTACAGCCCCCACATACTCCTGGACGTTCACCCCGGCTGGCTCAGACAGGAAGTTGGAGCGCAAAGAAAAAATCAACTCAATCAACCTGATCAACTTCTCCGAGGAAAATGCCGGGGTGTACGAGTGTCGTGTCACCAACGAAATCATGATCAAGGTCACAGGTGAAAACGAGGAGGGGGGTAAAGTGGAGGTGTTTGAGGATGTGCAAGTGGTCAACATATCTGTCGCAGGTAGGTGACCTACATTGGTGTGACCTTTAGATGTTTGTAACCTGCAATATTTAAAATTCTTTTCCTTTGATCTTAATTGTAAAGTCGGACTGGATTTCCTCCAACACAATCAAGTATTACATTTCAACCATTTATGTCTGCTTTTCTATTTAGATTTGATACCATAGCCTTTGTCTAACCAAGAACAAACTACAAGGCATCAGTTGTTTCATTTTAGTTGTCTCTCCTAGATGGGTTGCTGTCCCCAGCTATCTATCCTTATCTGCCCTGGAGGGGTCGGCGTGGTCGAGTTGGTAAAGCTCATGGTTGCTAAACCGAAAAATCTCGAGTTTGAACCCTCGGGCAGATGAGGCTCGTTAGCTGGGGACAGCCACTCTTCTAGGAGAGACAACTCCAAAATTAAACAACTGCTGCCTTGTAGTTTGTTCTTGGTTGGACAAAGGCTATGGAAGCAAATCCAAAAAAGAAAAGCAGGCTGAAATCGGAGTCAATGGCCTCAATGGCGCATAACCAGTTGACACGTAACGCTTAATTGTGTTAGAGGCGTGGTCGAGTCGGCAAAAAGCTCATGGTTGATAAATTCGAACAAAAGTCTCGAGGTCAAACCCACTGGCAGATAAATCTCGATCCCCTTCAACACTAATAATTAAGAATGAAGAAGAAGAAGAAGATCTGCCCTGGGGTTTGAAATCTGACCTTTTTGGTTTAGCATCCATGCGCTTTACTAACCAGACCATGCCAATCCCTTTTAAAATACTGAGTATGAGTGGCTTTGTTAGGGTATAGAAAGGAGAACGTCATTTAAAGATGTGCTCATTTTATAAACTGTGAAGAAATCTAGGCACTGGATCAAGTTACAGTCTATATCAATAATTAGGATGACGACTAATTAAATACACAACCATGCACACTTTTGAAAAAAAAAATTCAACATTTAAATTTAAGCAAATACATTTTTTTAATGTCCATTTAAATTGCTCTTTATTTTTCCAATTAAAGCTGTCTTCAGCCTCTCTATTGAAAATGTTAAACCTCTAACAACCAGCATGTTATAAATGTACTGAAAACTGTCTTCATCCTTTCTATTTAAAATGTTAACCCTCAAACAACCAAGCATGTTATAAACGTAATGAAAACTTTTCCCTCCGTCAGCTGACATGATTTTTAACGCTGATGGTCCCAACGCTGACTACATCATCAGCAACTCCCACCAGATTGGTCCAGTAGGTCAAGTTGGGCCTCAGATGGCGGACACAAGCATGCGTTGTGAGTAACCTGCCCTTGTTTTCTTTCTACAATTTTATGATTTAAATATGTCCATATGAAAGCATCTATAAATAAAGGTAAAGTTATTAGGTATTAACTTGTCTGAAATTTCTGTTTAAAATTAATTATTTGAAGCATTAAATTAAGCATTAAATTAATAAGTTTATCAATTAGTTTTAAAATATATAAAAATTACTTTTACAACATGAATAGTTAATGTTGATCTAAAAATAAGTTTTAACAAGAACAATTTAAATGCTGCTACATATATTTAAAAAATTAATGTTAATAAACAACTTGCCTTAATTATAATCGACATTATATATATTTCTATTAACAGTTGCAACTATTTTGTTCTAAAAATTGCTTTTCAGCATTTTCTTTTATATGTCACTTGGCTTTTTTTCTTTCTCTTTGTGCAATCAATTTTTTTATTGAAAAAAAATTCTTTGTCAATATCTTCTTTATTGTTTTCTGCCTTGGAAATTTTCTTATCAAATTTTTATATATACTTCACTCCATATTTTATTCTCTTTTATTCTTTTCATGTATAGGCTATAAATTTTTGCCTCATAGAGTTTTAAACTCAGCTTTACCAGCCTTTAAAAAAAAAAAACAGAAAAATAATATCCTACACTCATTCTTCTATTGGCTCATTTTTTTTCTATTGAGGTCAAAGGGAGATTATTTGTTTCTAAACTTTTATTTTTACAAATTTTAAATTCTTAATTCACAATAAAAGTTATATTATGATATTTACTTCATGGTTATTTAAAAATACTACCTGCTTAAGCCTAGTAAATATGGTAAAATCTACATGAATATGCTTACATTTTTAAATACATTTCATTGCTTTTTAAAAAAATTCTTTTTTGGCATGTTTTTTTAAATCTTTAAGTTTGGCATATAGATTAGAATATTTTCATACACACCTTTTAATAGTTTTTTCAATGTTCTTATTAAAGCAATTCCTTTCTTAAAAAAAAGTACCAAAATTTTGTCAGAACAATTTCTGTGGATGTATTTGTTGCTGTATATTTCTATTTTTTTGTGTGCGCATTTCTGGCAATTTTTCTTCACACTATACATTCCTTGAATTTATTTCTTTGGTTTTTTAATCAGCACTGAACTTTTCTGTTTGCTGTTCTTGCACAGTTCTACATCTCTTGTGTTCACTCCTTTAATTCTTAAGTCACGCCACATGTCACAAACCACTATCCCAAGCATAGTTTTCATGTTGTAATTACGCAACAGCGCACCCTTGAGTCTAAAATTAAAAATAACAACTAACATAAACCGGCAACTTCTTGGTGTAATGGCGTCCATGTCTGAAGCTACTGTTTTCTCTCCTATGCTTACAGACTCGCCTTACCGCACCAGATCCAAAACCTCTATCTGTAAGTGTTCTGTCTAGTTATCTCCCCTGCTTTTAAAAAATCTCATTATAGTGTATCAAGTCATATGATGCTCTGTGTTATCTCACCTGTGCAGGTAAATTGCTAAAGGCACCGCATTTACCCAGCTCATCTTTTTATATTTGTATTTAACTTTTATAAACTTTTAAAACAAAACTTATTTATCAATTTTAAAATAAATAGGGAATTATGATTATTATAATGATGAAATATGCAACCCTTAGCAATGTGCCTTCATGGGTCTAGTCTCATGATTCTGCTTAGCTTGTTGTTGTTTTAAATTATGTTGTGACTTTATTTCTTTAACATTTAGAGACTAAATGTTGTGTTGTTTAATGTTTACATAGATGTACGATTTGGTTTTTGATACTCTTCATTGGATAGTTTGTAGATGGCTGATTATATTGCAATTGCTAGGTCACAATAACAAAAACTCTGCAAGTTTATTGTGTTGTCAAAGGATATTTCACATAGGCAATCTCTCCACATTGTAAAAAATCATGGGATAGAATTACAGGACAAATTAATTGAAAACCTAGAACATTTTCTCATTGTTTACAGAAATCTTTGCCCTTCCATACCATTTCTAATATGTAGCTACATAGACTGAATCTTAGCATCCAGATTATTTTCCCTGGTTAGTCTTTTTTAATTAAAAAAGAAATAGGTAAATACAGTTTTCAATTTGTTTAATAGAACAAACAAGATCAACTTTAAAACCCCACAATAAATAACATAATAGAAGGCATAATATCAAAAAGCTTGGTTTAAACTTTTTTTTTACCAAAAAAATCATTTAACACTAAGTCAATCATCATTGTGAATGATAACTTTTTCCCTTCTTTATCATTTTGAATTAAAATAAGTGTGAAGGAGGGTTACACTATTTAAATGAGGCTTACACTATATGACAGAAGGCTTACTTTATTTCAGTGCATACAGACCTGGATCTGTAATCCAAAACAACTCACAATACCAACATTTACACTTACCCTTGAGTTTAATTCAATTCATCCATTGAAATATATAGTTTTCTAATTACTTCATGTTGGCCTACCTAACATTTTGTCACATGCAACTCCATGTAGGCCAGTATAACATTTTGTCACATATTATTCACTACATGTATGCCATTATAAAATGTTGTCACATGTAGGCCAGCACAACATCTTTCACACAATGTACATAAACATAGTTAGCACTGGCTACTGCAGTCTTGACTAGCCAGTTGGTAGCTCAGCTTCCTACATGTGTCTTGTGCTCCAGTGTCTCCATCTCAGTCTGTTGTTTGGTTCAATATTTGTTCATTTGGTAGATCAAAGTACAATGAGGCAACCTGTGTACGATAGCTCTGTTTCTTTTAAAACCTTTATTATTGGGTTAAGTGCTTCAATATTTGTCTATTTTGGTAGATCAAAGTACAAGGAGGCAATGTGTATGATATATATTTTTCTTTTAAAACCATTATGATGGGGTATGGTGCTCCAATATTTGTTCATTTTGGTAGATCAAACTACAATAAGGTAACCTTTGCATGATGGCTGTTTCTTTTGAAACCAGTATATGGGGTTAGGACTCCATCTCAAGCTGTTGTGTGGTTCATTATTTGTTCATTTTGGTAGATCAAAGTATATTAAGGTAGCTTCTGTGTTTCCCAGCAATACAATATGATAGCTGTTTCTTTTAAACCAGTATGGTGGGGTTAGGTTTAGGGACTTAGATAGCAGTGCCAAGCTAAAATAAATATGGCTATTGACATTGAAGTACCCTTTATTACTGTCCAAAGTAATTGGTTTTAGTTAAGGATTTGAACTCAGTGAATCCGGTATTGTTAAATTTAAATGTAGAATGTATTTGAAGGTCTTAGTGCTGATGCTAATCTAGTCCTAAGATATGCATGCTTCTATTTTCATATTGCAGCTTTGAGTAATTCAGATGTCACCCAAAACTAGCAATTTATTTTAGGATTATTTAAGGGTCTGTTTTAGTACGTATTTAAGTATTAATGTTCAGCCTATGGAGCATCTTTTGAGCAGGTCTTCATTTCTAATTAGTACCAAATTTGCAGTAGCTCAATGAAGTTTTACCTTTTCCATGCCAAAAATATTCCTTTCAACGTTCATTGTAAATTTCTTTTTTTTTTTAACATCTAAACCCATTTTTACATTGACTGTTTATGTTGAAGATGTACTAAATAGTTTGAATGAGATGCTTGTCTAACTATGGTTTGTTTTTCCCAGTTTCACCCTATGCCATTGGTGCTGTGATCAGTGATTGTCTAACTATGATTTGTTTTTCCCAGTTTCACCCTATGCCATTGGTGCTGTGATCAGTGCTGGTCTGGCTGTGCTGCTGATCATTGTCTTTGTCTTCATGGCCATGAGAATGAAGGTAGGAGTTATCTCCCTGTTTGGTAGGAGTTATTTCCCTGTTTGTTTAGCCAGTATTAGTCAGTGATTTTTCAGCATTTGGTTAGTCAGTCAATCAATATTTTGTGAGTTGTACCATTACTTACCACATTGTACAAGAATGACTGTTGTTTTACACTCTATATTTATGTTTATAGTTTAACTGTGTTTACAAATTCTCCTTCCTCCATAAGAAAACAAATTGTATGTGTTGTGTTTATTGTGCTGAATTTAATGTATCATTAAGTGTGACTTAACTTTTAAACTATGAATGAACCCAGTTAAAGTTTCAATGAAATATTTACATTGAGATATGTATGAAATGTTTCTTTACAGTGGTGTATATGAGGTTCATAAATTTTATATTGATTTAAGACTTAGAGCAAATACATAAACATTTTTTTAAAACGAATAATTTATATTGAGCCTATACATTGAATTTTGCGTATAAAATTTCACCATATCAACAAAATGTACACAGGCCCTAAAAGTAAACCTATAGATAAATTTTTGTCTATGTCAATTTTTCTGTTTAAAAGTAAGGCTTTCAGTAAATATCATTGTCAAGTTTTTCCAAATGGGCGAATAAAATTGTGTATATCTTGCCTTTTATGTATGTATAACTACACTAAATAATATTTGTGTAAAGTTTTCTATAAAATTATTTCTATAAAAATAAATTATACGATAAATAAAAAAATTATTAAATTTTTCTATCAAATAAAATAATATTTTTTTATGTATAACTACACATACTTACTTTGTAAAATTTTCTATGTATAGCTAATTTATTAATGTTATTTGTTTGTGTCGTTACAGAAGAGGGAGAAGAGGATGAGGGAAAAAATAGCCCGCGCTCACGACGAGAATCTGGATGATCAAGAGGTGGAGTTACTGGATGAGAGTACACAACCAAATACAGAATATTTAGTATGTGGTGATCATGCTGGTGCTAGTGGTGATGGTGCTTTAGTTTTGAACACACAAAAAATGGTTCTCCATGGGAGACTTGCTTGACTAACACTCTAGTCTAACATTTTGTTTTGCGGCTTCACTTGCAAGAAGCTTCTCACTGAAGAGATTAGTTTTATCTCTGTTTGTTTTTTAGTAGGATTACTTCGGTAATTGCTATAGAAGGTTTATATGTATATTTTTTACTGTAAACCTTTGATTGTTGAAGTATTAAAAAAAAAGAGATGGAATATCTCGAGGCTAGACGAATCACCAGCACAATTTTATTTTGATTTTATTTTGTAGTGACCAGTCGTCCCCCCTTTTTAAAGAGTTGGAATTTGAGCTATTTATAGATGTAATACAAGTGTGTATTCTCACTCAAGTTCTTCTGTGGTCTTATTGAATTTTACAGAAACATAACATTCACATTTTTATTTAATTTGTATTAACGTTTTTTATTTTTATTCTCTCTAGCTGTTCATTTTAAAATGTTTTTTTTAAACCTTGTTTTCACTTAATTGCTTCAATTTAAAACAGTTCAAATTGTTAAGTACACATCTTTAAGAAAGGCTATTTCATATACTGCACTTTTTAATATATTGCTTCATTTATTTTAATTTTCTAATTGAATTGCTAACTGCTTAAGCTGATTAACAAATATAATAACATGCTATTAAATTTGTTAAATATTTTTTGTTTGCTTTTACCATAAGGCTAGATTATATTGATTTCAGCTTTATTTTACATTTTATTTAGATAATGCAAATATTTTAATTTAATTTTTTTTTAAATATAGACAAAGCAAATGTGAAAAATCTTAATTAACAAAGTTTATGAAAAATGTGTATGTTAATATTCTGTTTTTAACGTATTTTTTTTACTGCTGACAGCCTACGGAATACTCCAGGCTGAAGATGAGCTGGGAGATACCACGTAAGGACGTAAGACTCCTGGAGCAGATAGGTCAAGGTGCTTTTGTTCAGGTGTGGAAAGGGCGCATGAGAAGGTCACCTGGCTCCACAGATGTGATGAGAGTCATTATTAAGAAGTTGCAAGGTAAATATGTCCGCACTTTGTTTACCTGACTACCTTTGTGTACCTGGGTTACCTGTATGTACTTGTGTGTACCTGGGTTACCTGTATGAACTTGTGTGTACCTTTGTTACCTGTATATGCTTGTGTGTACCTGTGTTACCTGTATGTACTTGTGTGTACCTGGGTTACCTGTATGTACTTGTGTGTACCTGGGTTACCTGTATGTGCTTGTGTGTACCTGGGTTACCTGTATGTACTTGTGTGTACCTTTGTTACCTGTATATGCTTGTGTGTACCTGTGTTACCTGTATGTACTTGTGTGTACCTGGGTTACCTGTATGTACTTGTGTGTACCTGGGTTACCTGTATGTGCTTGTGTGTACCTGTGTTACCTGTATGTACTTGTGTGTACCTGTGTTACCTGTATGTACTTGTGTGTACCTGGGTTACCTGTATGTGCTTGTGTGTACCTGTGTTACCTGTATGTACTTGTGTGTACCTGGGTTACCTGTATGTACTTGTGTGTACCTTTGTTACCTGTATATGCTTGTGTGTACCTGTGTTACCTGTATGTACTTGTGTGTACCTGGGTTACCTGTATGTACTTGTGTGTACCTTTGTTACCTGTATATGCTTGTGTGTACCTGTGTTACCTGTATGTACTTGTGTGTACCTGGGTTACCTGTATGTACTTGTGTGTACCTTTGTTACCTGTATATGCTTGTGTGTACCTGTGTTACCTGTATGTACTTGTGTGTACCTGTGTTACCTGTATGTACTTGTGTGTACCTGGGTTACCTGTATGTGCTTGTGTGTACCTGTGTTACCTGTATGTACTTGTGTGTACCTGTGTTACCTGTATGTACTTGTGTGTACCTGTGTTACCTGTATGTACTTGTGTGTACCTGTGTTACCTGTATGTGCTTGTGTGTACCTGTGTTACCTGTATGTGCTTGTGTGTACCTGTGTTACCTGTATGTGCTTGTGTGTACCTGGGTTACCTGTATGTACTTGTGTGTACCTGGGTTACCTGTATGTACTTGTGTGTACCTGTGTTACCTGTATGTACTTGTGTGTACCTGGGTTACCTGTATGTACTTGTGTGTACCTGGGTTACCTGTATGTACTTGTGTGTACCTGTGTTATCTGTATGTGCTTGTGTGTACCTGGGTTACCTGTATGTACTTGTGTGTACCTGGGTTACCTGTATGTGCTTGTGTGTACCTGGGTTACCTGTATGTACTTGTGTGTACCTGTGTTACCTGTATGTACTTGTGTGTACCTGGGTTACCTGTATGTACTTGTGTGTACCTGGGTTACCTGTATGTACTTGTGTGTACCTTTGTTACCTGTATATGCTTGTGTGTACCTGGGTTACCTGTATGTGCTTGTGTGTACCTGTGTTACCTGTATGTGCTTGTGTGTACCTGGGTTACCTGTATGTACTTGTGTGTACCTTTGTTACCTGTATATGCTTGTGTGTACCTGGGTTACCTGTATGTACTTGTGTGTACCTGGGTTACCTGTATGTACTTGTGTGTACCTGTGTTACCTGTATGTGCTTGTGTGTACCTGTGTTACCTGTATGTGCTTGTGTGTACCTGGGTTACCTGTATGTACTTGTGTTACCTTTGTTACCTGTATATGCTTGTGTGTACCTGTGTTTTCCTTACTCCCTGTGATTAACCATAATTACATGGACATACCTTTGTGTACATGTAAAAAAAGTAAAGTTTCCCTTTCAAACCTGACGGTCTATGGGGCAAGTGAAGTAGAGTAGTGTGGTCAGCACTATGCCCAGCCGCCTTCACTTTCCCTAACGTGAGTTAGGTACCCATCAGAGTTGGGTGGACTCAGGGACGGTCTACTGACTTGAACCCAGATTCGAACTCGAGACTTACGGGTTAGCAGCCCAACTCTCTACCGCTAGACCACTCCGTCCCATTTGTGTACATGTAAGTACTTTGATTTACCACTGTGTACTTCTTGATACCTTTGCATGGTTGTAGCTACCTGAGGGTATATGAGTTGGTACCTGTGTGTGCTTGTGTGTACTGATATGTATCTGTGAGTATTTTATGTACCTGTGTGTATTTTATGTGTCTGTGTGTATTTTATGTACCTGTGAGTATTTTATGTACCTGTGTGTATTTTATGTGTCTGTGTGTATTTTATGTACCTGTGAGTATTTTATGTACCTGTGTGTATTTTATGTGTCTGTGTGTATTTTATGTACCTGTGAGTATTTTATGTACCTGTGTGTATTTTATGTGTCTGTGTGTATTTTATGTACCTGTGAGTATTTTATGTACCTGTGTGTATTTTATGTGTCTGTGTGTATTTTATGTACCTGTGTGTATTTTATGTACCTGTGTGTATTTTATGTACCTGTGTGTATTTTATGTACCTGTGTGTATTTTATGTACCTGTGTGTATTTTATGTGTCTGTGTGTATTTTATGTACCTGTGTGTATTTTATGTACCTGTGTGTATTTTATGTACCTGTGTGTATTTTATGTGTCTGTGTGTATTTTATGTACCTGTGTGTATTTTATGTACCTGTGTGTATCTGTAGGTACTTGTGTGTACCTGTAGGTACTTGATTGTACCCGCATGTACCTACACGCACTTGTGTGTACCTGTAAGTGCCTGTGTGTAGAAATAAATGCTGTATAAAATACCCTTAATCCCCTTTCAATCACCTATTCAGGTGAATCAAGTGATAAAGAGAGACACTTCTTCACTGCTGAGCTTGAGGTCCTGAAGATGTTACCAGCCCACGCCAATGTCATCAGGCTAGTAGGGAGCTATACTGCCAATGGTAAGGTCATTCTTATACTCAAGGTCACATACTGCCAATAGTAAGGTCATTCTTATACTCAAGGTCACATACTGCCAATAGTAAGGTCATTCTTATACTCAAGGTCACATACACATCTGATGCTCATGTTCACATACTGCCAATGGTAAGCAGGTCTTGTACATCTGATGCTCATGTTCACATACTGACAATGGTAAGCAGGTCTTGTACATCTGATGCTCATGTTCACATACTGCCAATGGTAAGCAGGTCTGATGATCCTGATTACAGTTCTGTTCCAGTTCATAAACAAAAATGTTCAATACACTTACAGACATGTTGGTTCTGGGTCTAGGACATTACCCCCTATCTATTACCCTCACCAAATTAACATATCTCTATTGGTACCTCTATACAACCAGAGGGTAATGTCCTACTGCAGTTTTTTGGGTTTTAGAGAAGAGGTGATATTACAGGAAGGGGGGTTTTGGGGGAAGCAATGCCCTGCTCCTGTTGGCTCCTATATGTGTGATCTCTCACTCCAACAGAGCCGTGGCTGATGATGATGGAACTGGCCAGCGAGGGGACACTCCAGCAGTTCTTATCTGACCCTTGTATCTGACCCTTGTAGCTGACCCATGTATCTGACCCTTGTATCTGACCCATGTATCTGACCCTTGTATCTGACCCATGTATCTGACTCATGTATCTGACCCATGTACCTGACCCATGTATCTGACCTATGTATCTGACCCATGTATCTGACCCTTGTATCTGACCCTTGTATCTGACCCACAGAGCCGTGGCTGATGATGATGGAACTGGCCAGTGAGGGGACACTCCAGCAGTTCTTACAGCGCCACGGACCAGGTCACCAACAGGTCATGATTGGTAGGGGAGAGAAGCCCAGTGTCACCATGACCAAGAAACAGAACCTGACCTCACAGAAGTTGTTGGCCCTGGCAGCTCAAGTGGCCAGTGGGCTGGACCATCTGGAGAAGTTCAAGGTCACTAGCAATTAAGATCAAATCCTCCTTGTGCTACACAAAAATAATTAACTAGTTTGAAAATTTTGTTTACATTTCAAAATCCTAACATATTCAACTAAAAAGTATGTCTAAAGCCAAAACCATTTATTAAAATAGTTATAAAGTTAAAACTGATTTAATACAGACAGGATAATAGGCATACAGTATTTTATTTTAGATTTTTTTTTCTAATAGTATTGTTTTTAGTATCATTAATAGTAGCAAAAAGAAAATTAGTGTTTAAGAAATCATACTGATATGTATTAAGGTAAAGTTCCCTTTTGACCCTGGCAGTCCACGGGCAGGTAAAGTAGAGTTCATATGTTTCTGTTACCTTGACATATGAAGGTATAGTGTGGTCAGCATGCTGCCGAACAGGCCTTATCTTCCTTAACATAAGTCAGGTACCCATCATAGCTGGGTGGACTCAGGGATCAGCTGCAACTCTAGCCAGGGACCTGAACTCAAGATTTTTGGGTTAGGAGTGGAAAGCTCTAACATTAGACCACATTGTCCTATGTAACTGACAAAGTGTCAATCATAAAATATTTAAAATACTGACACTGACCATGCACTGGTAAATGCTCTACCATTAAACCACACCATCTCTTTTCACCGACTAAGTCTGTATCATAAAATATTAAAAAACTGACACTGACTATACACATTCCAGCTGATCTACTACCGCCTGCGATCCTGTAAGATTCTTGTGGCCAAGGGAGGGATCTGCAAACTGTCAGGATTTGGCTTCCCTAATGAGATGACAGAGAGAAACCTGTATGAATGTGTAAGTTTGGCTTTTCTTTTTACTGAATTACAACTTTATTTCATCTTAACTGATTAGCTGTTGAAACCTGTATGAATGTGTAAGTTTGGCTTTTCTTTTTACTGAATGACAACTTTATTTCATCTTATCTTATTAGCTGTTGAAACCTGTATGAATGTGTAAGTTTGGCTTTTCTTTTTACTGAGTGACTTTATTTTATCTTAACTTATTAGCTGTTGAAACCTGTATGAATGTGTAAGTTTGGCTTTTCTTTTTACTGAATGACAACTTTATTTCATCTTAACTTATTAGCTGTTGAAACCTGTATGAATGTGTAAGTTTGGCTTTTCTTTTTACTGAATGACAACTTTATTTGACAACTTATTAGCTGTTGAAACCTGTATGAATGACACTGATGAATTTTAACTGATTTAGATCCTTGTTTTAAACTGCATTGTTAATTTAAATTGTGCTAGTTAGTTACATTTTTATGTATCCCATTTTTGCATTTTTTACTACAATATTTAGGCTTACTTTTTTGGGACATTTGCTCCAACAACTTTATCCCTGTATTTCACCAACATTACATTTTTCCACCAGAACTTTTCTTGTATGTAACCCACACTACTTTATCCCACCAGAATTCTGTCCCTGTCCGCTGGACCGCCCCAGAGAGCCTACAGAGTAACGTGTACAACACCAAAACAGACACCTGGTCATATGGCATCGTGGCATGGGAGATCCTACACTTTGGTCAGTTGACTTTTTTCTTCCAACTGTCATTTTCATTGCTATATTTTCCTCATTTCTTTATAGTGGGCTAGTACAAAATAAAAGAGAAATATTTCATTATGTTTGTGTTGTGCTGAGAGTGAATAAAATTGTTTGTGTTTGTGTCAGGTACCACGCCCTACCCCACCATGGGACCCCACGAGGTGGTGGAGAGTGTACAGAATGGCTTCAGGATGCCGAAACCCCAGCACTGCAGCTCTGAGTTGTGAGTAACATGTCACACAGTCTCACACATCACACACAATTCTTACACATCACACATCTCACAGTCTCACATTAAATCACACACAACACACAGTGGTATGTGCAACCCAAAATTAAATTCATTACACAAGATCATACACAGCCACATACAGCACTCATAGCACACCGAGTCATGTGCAACATACAAAGTCACATACAAAGTCTCACACATCACACTAAATCACTCACAGCACATATATTTATAATATTTGAGTCATTACAAATAAATAGGCCTTACTTACAATTTATACTGACTTAAAAATTAACACAAATTATAATCACCAAGCGGACACATGCTAGTGGACTGATACAGATTTCCAATATAGCAATAGTGTCAAAAAATAATTCTAGTAAATTCTACACAAATTACCATTAGAAGACTAGTCTTTGTTTACACAGCTACACTTGAAAACATAAGCTACTGTTTTATTAATCAAGCACATTTTATGTGAGTGTGTCAGAACCGCTATAACTTACTTGGGATCTCCTTCAAATGTTATTGTTATTACAGAGCTATTCATTCAAATGTTGAACTTATTAATAGTACCCATAAAATAAGACAATTATATGCCAAATAAGGTCATGTTAATATGGTTGAAAATAAGAATCTAATGGATTCCTTTAATTAAGAAAGTTCAAATATGAAGTAAACTTTTCTATCACTTAATTACTTATAAGGAAAACTTGGAGACTGATGGTGGTAGCCCTGCCAGCCTCCCCTAGTTGGACTACTCACATTTTAAACCAACTAGATGCCCAACTAGATTTCCCCTTTAAAACTTGTATTCTCTGTCTCCCACCAGGTATGAGCTGCTGCTCCGATGTTGGCACACCATCCCAGAGGAGCGTCCATCCTACCAGGAGATCCTTGAAGTGCTGTCCCACCTTGTGGTCAATGCTGATGTCCATATTGACTTCTCCAGCCTGCCTGACCACCTGCTGTCCCTAGACACAGGTGACAGCGCTGTGTTTTAAGTCAAGAGCACATAACTCTCACATTCAGGGGCAGACAACTCACAACCATGGTCAGACAACTCACATTCAGGGGCAGGCTACTCTCACATTCAGGGGCAGACTACTCTCACATTCAGGGACAGTCAACTCTCACAGTCAAGGGCAGGCTAATCTCAAATTACAGGCACTACTGCCCTTTCTTAAAATTGTTTCAATGGGTACCTGTAAGTAATTTGGCAATTCAAACACATATATAACATTAAGAAAGGTCTCACGTATACTGTTATACACCAAATTTGTGTAGGTTGTTTATATAGTATTGTACATTATCATCTACACATAAGTGTTTATCATCTTATAATATTTCCGTCAGATAAGCTCCCAACTTGTTATAATGGGTTGTCTAACAGTAAACATAGGCAGTAGATGAATAACTTTTTCTTTGTTGTCTACATAGTCCCGGCCAGTTGTATTTAGCAACTGTCTCTGTAATAGACTGAAGGGCCCACTATTTTGTCTGCTAAGAGTTGCCTTGGTTGAGTCCATCTGCTAGTGTTAAAGGTGTGATGTAATCAGCAATTGTTTTGTGTACAACTGGCATTGGTTGTACAATGTTTTGGGTCCTATTCCCCTTGCAGACCTAACTCTCCATATTGCAGGTGAAGTAGAATTCATGTTTCTTGAATTTGGTGTAAGGAGGGACGGTGTGGTCAGCACAATGCCCAATCACCTTGGTTGGACTCAGGGTTGTCATGAGTCTGGACTGAGATCTGAACTCACGACCTTTGGGCTAGCAGTTGAGCACTCTGCCACCCAACCACGCCATCCCATATTGTGGTAGGGGAAATAATCACACCATGCAAAAGCCATCATGTATATGACTAGACTCTAGCAGTTGTTATATATAATCAGATGGTCTAAAAATGACTAGGGACTTGGTTCCAAAGTGTAATGGTGTTCATAAGCTCCCTCAACCAGCAATATTGAAAGGTGGGAAGTGGCCATTGATAGACAACCTCAAAACTTGAATCCTTGCAAGTTTTATAAAGTTATCTTTCTTTCACCTATCTTCTCATTCCCCCCTCCCCTCACTTCCCTTTACACAGACTGAGTACAGGATCTAGATTTTTTTTTCCCAACCCAGTGTTTAGTGAGTAAGTAAGTCTGTGTTAACAAAATTGATCAAATCATCCGGTATGAAAAAACTGTATGCCTGTGTTAACACTGTACGGGGTCGCTGGACACTGTTATGAAAGATATACATTTAACTACAAGACTTTGTTTACAGTGGGTCTCATGTATAGCATCAGCTAATGTGGATGCTCCCTTGTGTGTGTGTGATTACATGTATTCTCTAAATATGTATTGATACTATACATATATAAATATATATCACTATAGATAATAAGTAGAGATGTACACCAACATTCGTGTGAAAAGTTGTTTTTTTTGTAGTGTTGTAACACCAGTTTGATTTAAAAGTGTATCTTGTAAGAATATCCTAAACAAATGTATCTTGTAAGAATATCCTAAACAAATGTGTCTTGTAAGAATATCCTAAACAAATCTGTCTTGTAAGAATATCCTAAACAAATCTGTTGACCCATGCCTGGTTGTGTGTACCTTCAAAAAAAATCTATTTTTAGCCAATCCATTTTCTTATTCAATCAGGAATTCCCATTTTGGTATGTTATACGTGTACACTTACACATAATATCTTACACTTACATTTTTTTTGTAATGTTCTGGAATTATCATGTTTATTTTTTTTTTATTAATTAACAATGCATAAATGCTGAAAACACAATTTTAATAATATGATAAATGACATTTGAACAGTCCAATATATTTGACTGTAAAATATCAGTTTTAATATTTGATCCTTATGTGAATTGATTATTAAAGGATCTAGTTTTGTTTTGTTGCTGTGCCATTACCTTTTAAAATCACATTTTTTTAAAGAATCTCTTTTTTTAACAATCTCATATTGTACTGTTTTATTATACTTTGTTTTAAAAATGTTCAAATCTATTAAGGTGATTTATTAATGTAATCAAAACCACTTCATTAATAAAATGATGTTGACAATATAGGTCTACAGATCTAGCTCCATGAACAAAAATTGTGACAATAATTTAATTATTTAATTATTTTAATTGTAAGAAGTAACAGAATTTTAAAAAAAATATAGACATGTTTGTTTTTTTAGCCTGCACAAAATTTTCTAATTGAAGATTTTAAGTCCAATCTGTGTAGGTTTCATAATAGAAAGTTTTCTACTGTAAATATGCTATTATTTGATCAGCAAAAACAATGGTAATTGTTCTAGTCATTTAATTGAACTCTATCATCCTGTGTTTGATTCTCAATTGGTTTTGTTTTGTACATAAATTTTCTAGTGCAATTACTACAAGGTTCAAGCAACCAGCTAAAGGAATCCATGTTTTTATGTAACTATCTATTCACATTGCTGTATATGTATATTGTGGATCTATTTTTGTAATTAATTTTTTGGGATGTTTAATTTTAACTAAATTATTTAAAGTTTCTATCTGTTTGATACTTTTTTAAATTAATTTTTCCTAGATATTTATTTTGTTTTTATGAAGTTAATATGAATGTAAATGCCTACTTTCTAAAGATGGTATTTCCAACCCTAAATTGAATTTTATAAGTTATCCAATCCAACATTTATACAAAGAAAAAGTTAATTATCCAACTTTCTTTTTTTTTAAGTTGACCCTGCATATAACTGAACAATCATAAAAATTTGCTTGTTTATAATTTGTATAAAAATATATACATATCATATTTTTCTTCATTCTGTCATCATTATATTCATCTTATTTTCAGACTGTGAGTGCAATATAATGAAGAAAACATCTTTTTCTTTCCATAATTTATTCTTTGCTAGTGATAAATTCATTTACAAACTTTTGCTCCAATCCACAATTTTTTTTTCTCTCTGCACTACCTTGAATTGAATGTATATTTTAATGTTTACTACATAGCTTGAAGCTAGCAAGTGTGTACATATTGTGTACATTTGTCCACATCCTGTTTGTTTGCTTAGGTGTTGTTGCCATGTAAGGAAACTTCTAATTTACTGGTGGCTTTTTATCAGGGAGGAACTTCATGCCTTTCGTACAGCTTTCTTTGTCAATGGAAAACCACAGTCTCATATTTGATAAGTAAAGAAAATCGGTTTTTGATTCAGACAAGAATATTTGAAATTGTGATAAAATCAAAGTTGAAATAATGAAAACATTTTTTTGGTACAGAAATATTTGTCCTATTTCTCTAAAAACATCTTCAGAGGAGAAGTTAAATTTATGAATGGCTTCATAAAATCATTGTCTGTACTCATCATTCTTCTCTTTAGTGATCCATGGCTGTTTGATATATTTGTATCACTTGGATCACTAGTGATCACAAGTAGTTTATAGTAACAACATATCATTGTTAGCCCATTTTGAACTAGAGAAATATTTTTCTGTTCCAATCAAGTTTAAAAAACTGTAGAACTGTGTGTGTTATCAACCAAAAAATGATCTTTAACATTCCATATGTATGTATGTATGTCTGTGTGCTATTTTTAACCAGGTTTGACATATCAGAAGTCTTCAATTTAAAAAAAAACACAAAAAGTGTTATATAACAATTTAGCTAAGTAAATTGTGATCCCAGTGTTGTATTAAAAAATAAATTACTCAGCCCTATTATTTCGAATATTTGTGACATATTAACATGTATATACCAAAACTAAAACTTACCAACTATATGGCTTTTGCAGTATAAATGTGTAGCTAAAAATAACAGCTATGAGATTTTTTTTTTTACTGAAAAAAATAGTCTGCTTAAGGGAAGTAATTCTGTAAAATAATTAAGCATCAAACAAGAGTTAAATCTGTCACACAAACACATCATTATTTATTGTGTCCACACCATCCACTGTGTTTTTGGTGTCTTAATTTCTATTGAAACTAAGTGTTGTGCAACATTTTTATGGCTCTACATTGGTTAGTTTTATTACTTTGTCACCAACATTGAGAATTATATTTCCACTGTTGGTTGTAAGTTTGAATAACTTACCCAGATCACAAAACTGCACGTTTTTAATATTTTTCAGGTTTTTTTTATCATGTTATTTTTGTCAAAGCTCATAGTTGCTAAATATGATGTGATTTTTTTTTTAAAAAACCTCAAAATATTGATATACAAACCTAATGCTGTTGATAAAGTAAGCTTTGTAAACTATTTTAACATAGCTTTCATTTTTAAGTAAGACTGACAAATTTATAAAATGTTGTTTTTTTTTTAAAAAAATAGCAAAATGTAGTATTTTAACTATAGAATTTCAACAGGAAATTTAAATAAACAAGTTGAATTTAAAAAATTAAATCTCTACAAACTAAAAAAAATAATTTTTAAAAAGTATTACCTTGAGACAAATGTATGTACAGTTGTGTGCTATACTTGTTGCTTGAATTAGTTCTTTATATTCTATTGCTACACCACTTTTGTTAGAGAATAGTTTCCGGTGTGATTTGTTATGAAGGTTATTTTTAAACATGCTAATTAAATCATTAAACAGTCTATGTTACTTATTACATGTTGAAATAATTAAAAAAAATATTGTTGTAAGCAAATGAAAGGGAAATCACTCTGAAATAATTGATAAGATTTTTTTTTCCAATAAATATTTGTAGTATGGTATTGTGGCTGCCAGTGATTTAGACAAATATTATTTATAAATATAAAAATATTCATGAGTTTGAGTAATGTAAAACTACCTATAGTTTAACAAATGTTTACTCACAATATTATCATAAAACTCTTTTCAGTAACTCCTCTTTTGGTATTAATTGGTCACAAAATAAATACTTTAATAACACTGTGTGTAATGATCAAAGTGTCAATTACTTGTGAGGTTATTTAAAAACATTTTTACTTGATGTCTTTTCAACTTTTCACTGAATCCACTGAGTTTTTTCCACACATACCACATATAACGTAAAGACCTTTCACATGTTTCCCCGTTGTATTGTATTCGCATCTGTTTTTAAGTTTTACAAACTGATTTACATTTTTAAACTTAAGGCTAGAGTCTAATGGAACCAGTTTAAAACATTATAGACTTAAGAAAAAATATAGGCTTGAGAATAATTGACTGTGAAGAAACGTTGCTCATTTTTTAAATTCGTGCATAATTCTACATTCCAGTTTAACAAGACATTCTGATTTTAGACTTTAGGAATAAAAATTTTTACCAACTAGCTTTTATTATATAACCTTATAAAACATCAAGAAACAAATTCATGTGGATTTGGTGTAAACAGAAAGTCTTTGGATATTTTGGACAGATCTATGTTTTTTAAAATTCTAAGTTGTTTTTTTTTAATTATATATTTTTTAAAATTTAACTGGTTTTGTACCCATGCATTGTCTTGTTATGTATGTACTGTATCATTTTGTGCTTGTATGTTTTACAAAACCAAGAAAACATGAATAAACTGACAAGAAATTTTATCAAGGAGTTGGGTTTTTTACATTAAAGTTGTATTTTGACTAGAAGAACTGCTGAATGGTCGAATTATTTAAAAAAATACTTTTGTGTTTATGTTTAGGAGTTTAGCCTCTGTTTAGCTCTATTGTGTTACAAAACTAAAATGATTTTAAAGCTCTAAAGCCCTGAAGGAAAAAAAAGTATTTATAGCAGATAGAATACACATTAATGCTTGACCAATACACATTAAGCATTATTTAAATTCACACTTGTACAAAAACAACTCAATTCACACACAAATAAACAGCCAATTCCGGACAAAATAACTTCAAACATATTTTATTATTGATTTATGGCAGGTGTGTTGTGATTAAAACAATTTTTAAAAACCTGAAAGAAATGACAGATGCCTGGTTACAATATAATTATCAGAATACAGAAACACTCAATTTCCTCATTCAGCCAATCACACAGTTTATCAATTAATAATGAGCATAGAGAGATTTACAAGGTTAATCTATTTAATAATACAAGGGTTAAGGACATATCCGAGCTAAGAGAAATTAAGTTCAGTGCTTGGCACTTTGGTCAGTTTGCATTAAACTATTTTGAAGAAAAAAAAAATGAGAACATGTAGGGAGTGAGTAGGGTAAAAGGGTGATTGATAAAATTTGTTTAAAGATGAAAAATCACAAGATTATTTTTTTAAATTAATATTATTTATTCTACAAGTCATATTCTAGTAGTTACATGATGATGATAAATTATTTTAAAAAATAACCAATGTCTTTTATTTAAAGAAAATAAATAATTTTTTTTTAAAGTTGCAAGACTGTTTTGTTATGGATAAACCAATCTTAGTTCAGCAAATGTACTTAAACTTATTAAATAAAGTAAAAACACACCACAATAATTGCAAATAAGCTTTTAGAAACAATACAAAAATGTTTAATCCTCTACTTTTAAGCTTGAGCCCTGTTTATACCTTTTAATGCTGGGTTGAATGTAATACTGTATTACCATTTGGACCACAGGGATTGCATATTCAATTTAAGAAAACAGCAAATGAATAAAAATAAATAAATGATTGAAATTAACCGTAACCTAGGTCAATAGTAGTATTATTTTCTCAGAAATTTTTTTAATATGAAATTAATTTCAATGCTTGACTGATGTTAAATAAATTTATAAAAACCCGTTCCACATTTGTTTTCATCTTTTTCCAAAGTTGTATAAAAAATACACAAGAAACAAGTGTTTTTTTAATAATTAACTGCTTGTTAAGTAGTCTTTGTTGATGTAAATTTGAATGTTACTATAAAGTGATAGCACTATATGAATAAATAACCAAATGCCACATAATTATACACAAAAATTGTAGTACGCAACATTAAAAAAAAACTAAAAAAAAAATTTGTATAAAACAGTTTAAACACACACTTAGATACAATGTGTTATGTAAGATAATCCTACATCAAATATACAACAAATAAATAATTCAATCATTATGCTCAACTAATTATTGATGTGTATGATCTCCAAAATAAAACAAATGGAATTCATTCTCACACTTGGCAATGAATGGAAATGTCCTATAGAACAAAACAGATGACAGAACAAAATGGATATGTTGAACAACTAGATACACCAAACAGAACACACACCTAGGTGTTTTGTTTTCCTATTTAATATAAGTTGGCCTATTCACAAATCTGTTATAATTTTAAGGTATATTGTTGAGAAATGACTGATTTTCTTCTTACGTTAATAATGTCATTATTTAATTATTAAAATCAAATATTTTAAACCACGAGTCATTTTAAATTTGAACAGAATCTTACAGTTTAGTACATGTTTATGATAAAAAAAAATACTGTTTGGTTGATTCTGAACATCACTTCTATTACAATAATAAATGTGTTGGTTTTTGTTCTGCAGATGTGTGATCAACACTTAAGTAGACTAACATAAAAAGTTTTTTAACTGATGAAAATAATTAACTCCAAGGCCAAACCCATCTGGTACATGAAGCAACATGGTGAAAAAATAAAAACTGAAACAAACGAAATGATCTTGAAAGCAATCTGATTCCACTTAAAATATGCTAAATTCTCACAATAACAATCCAATGAGGAGTGAAGAATTCTCACATAAATTTAACAGTTATTAAATACCTTGCATATCACAACCCACACAAATATGATTTATATTGCTTTGCAATAATTCATTATTTATATACATAAACATAGCTCAAGTCCATGATTTGAAATTCTAAAAAAAAAATCTTTTACAATCACCATTCAGCATTGTTAAGCCCATGTAACACTAAGTCACAGGGTTGTGTAGTACCAAAGGCTATTCAATGAAGCGATTCATCAATAAACTAACCAAGCAGTGAACACTGGGATATATACAAACTGTACAGGAGAAAACCTAAACACTTTCCACAAAGTACAGTCAAACTTTTAACCTCATTTCTACTTCAAATAATAATACAAACTTTTAAATTAATATTTAAAGTAATAATACAGTCAAACTTTTAAGTTTATATTTGAAGTAATAATATAGTCAAATGTTGAACTTCACTTATATTTAAAAAAATAATACAGTCAAACATTCCACTTTATATTTAAAGTAATAATATAGTCAAATGTTGAACTTCAGTTCTATTTAAAGTTATAATTAAACAAGCTGAAACATCCATTCTGCTGAGTACACAAACCTAGCAACTGCTTCTCACATTAACTAAACAAAATTACAAATTTTGTAAAATTGAAGAAATAATTAGGCTATATTCACAGTGAAAAACAATGTTACATTATGTAAATATACAATACCCATGTACTACAAACTTTAAATGAAATATAAAAATCATGCACATTCTACTTAAATAATTCCACAGCAATTGTTATTTTTGTGAACAATAAATAAAACAATAAATAATGGTTCATGACACAGCACGTTTTCACTTTGACAATAATTTGCCATTTAAGATATATACTATTTAAGTACTAATGTTTACCTATTGTACACATTTTTATTTAAAAACACTTAGGGAAGAGCTTTACCATGTCATAATATAAATTACAAAACAGTCATTTGTACTTAATTTTAGAAAAAAAGATGTCAAAAAAGATTCTAAAGAATTTTTCAAACTTAATCCTTTAATAAAAGTTGTTGTCTATTAAAATGATATTTAAAAAAATGCTAAGACAAAAGAACATTGATCAATAGCGTGCATTGTTTTCATCAGGCAAATTTACAGATTATAATAAATATAAACATACATTTCATTAAAAATGCAGATTTTCTAAATTTTACAAACCAAACTTTCTTACTAATACCATTATGGAAATACATTCACAGGGTCCAAGACTTGACATATCTCAAAGTTTTCATTTATCCGTACGCCATCCATTCAATGTACAGTCAGAATGATTTACTCTATGACAGAAGGTGGGTTAGGGTTTAATGAAGAATGAGATGAAAACATTCTAATCAAACATGAAAGATTATTGGGGGAAAGAAAATATATATTTTATTATGACAGTAGAAGGAACTCAAAAGTTTGTGGACAATAAAATGATAAGTGCTTGCTAGGCATACATTATAAAAAAAAGCTATAGAAGATAATTAAAAAATGTAGGTAATCCCATATACTTTTCTTCATCTTAATTAGCTAGTTAACAGGGAAGTGCTTACAACAAATACATCACACACTCCATTGAATGGTCTTAACCTGAAGCAGCAGATGTGATGTTATTTTTCCAAAATGTCATACACCTCTGATGTTTCTGTCATTCCTTAAGATTATTGTAGATTCATTAAAGGGAGATTACCTCCACATTGATTTTAAAAAATTATTGTAGTTCCATCAAAGGGATATCACCTCCTGATAGATACAAAGCTTTTTTTAAATCCATCACATCAGAATCCCAGCGGGTTCAAAATAAAATAAATTATCACTCACTTGATTTCTACACACAGCAACTGAGCTAAAACATGAATAAAACAAAAGTTTTTTTTACACCAGTGGATAAATGCTTTAACTCCATGCATATCCAGCATGTCTTGCTTTTCTTTAATTATTTCTCATTCCCTTACACAAAGTAAGTTCAGCCTTCTATAAAATGTATGTCACACTATGGTATAATCAAGTTCTTTTGCTGGCTCCCCACTATGAGAAAAATCCACAGAATTTGTTTAATCCATTATGAAAAAAGACTAAACATGCAAGTATACGCACTGATGGAAAATCCTATAAATCATTATAAATGATGCACTTGTCTTCTATGCTTCCATAAGAAGTTTGAAATACTTTTTTATAAATTAACACTTGAATCTCACAAATATTAACACAAAACCTGATATCTCATATGATTTGATGCTGAAACTTCAAATACTTCCTACACTTGAAGCACTGTAATCATGAAAAAAAAAGGAATTTCAAAATAACAGAATCAACATGAAGCAAGTGTTGGTTATATACAATCCTATACATCTGTCGCCAACTTATTGTTACTCATATGGAGGGGAGTTAAGCGAGTCATAGTTGGAGGTGGTGTTGTTTCGTAGTAGTTTCCCCTAAAACTGCTCATACTATAGCCAGTGCTAGAGCTGTACATTGGGTCCAGTCTAAGAGGAGAGAAAATTTTTTTTAATTTTTTAGTTGATAATTAATTATAAGATTATCAAGCAAATTTAAGCAAAGGCATGAATAGGTTGAATATCACAATATTTTTTAATCAAAGATAATACTACTGTAAAATAAAGCCTGTATGATAGATGATCTGATAATAAAATTACGTTTATTTAGTGTCACTAAACTAGTGATGAAACTGAGCACCTAAAACAAAAAAGGAATTTTCTCAATGCTAGAAACAGGTGACAAACCAAATCTTTCCAGATGGAAATGAAAGCTCTAAAAGAAATATTACTGTAAGTGACAAGCAAGTCAGAAAAATCATTTTTAAAGAAGATAGACTTTCTCTACAAAATAGGAAAAGTTATACCTCTGTTACACAAGTCTCAATCTATACAAACAAAAAGTACCTTTCACAAGTTTACAACAAATTTGCTTCAATTAGTATTTTTAAAGTTAATTTCTTTGGCACTGCACATACAGAACAAAACACAGTCAAGAAGGGGGCGACTGGTTCTGTCCTGCACAAGTGCTAAAGAAAAAAATTACATTGTACTTAAAACAAAATTACATAACAGTTTTGGCTCAAGAGTTCATTAAAGATCTGCAAAATGGATCTAATGCTGGTTACCTGTCAGGTACAAGATCCTCCCCTCTCCTGACATATTCTCCATCATAGATTTGGTTATCTGAGTAGGTTTCACAAGGCTCAATGAAACCATAACCATTGTTGTTTCCCTTTACTTGACACTCCTGAAAAAACACAAAATTAATATTTCTGTGTTATAGTGAGAAGAGTTTGGGTGTTATACTTCTAGCTCTCACATTTTAATTCTTCAAGGTTAATGTTCTCATAAACTTAGCTATAATTAATATGCTGATTAAATTACTTATAAATTAGTTACAATATTGTCTTCATTGTCATTTGCACACATAGAAATTTGATAAAGTAAATTTTGTTTTGCTAACGAATCTTCCTATGCGTTTGAATAGTGCACAAAAAAAAAAAACTTTTTAAAGCTTCAAAAAATTGAAAATGTCAAAAACTCAAAATCACACTGAAAAGTTTCAAAATTGTGTTGGGTACAGAAATCAACAATCAAGGTAAGGGACATAATAGAATATGGCAAAGAAAATTCTAAATTCTGTATATTTATTGAGATTGATCTGATAAAATATATGCTTTTGTGGACAGAATAAAACAAATTGGCTTATTCTTTAATGGGTTTAAACAGTCACATGCTCTTTAATAAATTAAAATGTCAAAAGCTGCATATTTTTGTTCAAATTATTCAGGGTAAAAAATAATTTACTTGCTTTTTAAAAAAATATTAAAGTGTCTTAGAGGATACAGACTTCCCTTACAAAAGTTGAAGAAGCAGATGTTGTATTATTAAACATTGTGACAAAAAATAAGTCATGATTTCAAGAAGAAAAAAAAAACAGAAAATCAAAAGCTAAATAAGAAACAGTGAGCTGGGTGAGAACCATCAACAGAGATAAAACTCACTGAACATTCTGTGAAAAAAGTGTTCATTCAATCTTCATTAGCTTATGTGAAATTTAAAAAAAGATACTAGTTTGAACTACTATGTGTACATATTATTTTAATATAAACTTATTCTGATGTAGACTAAAGTATTAAAACAAAAATTATTATTTGGAAAAATTGTTTTGCTGCTTAAATAAATTTTAATTAAGTCTAACCAATGTATTTAACATCTCCATTAGTGACATGGTCTTTAGTCAATTTTAAAAAAATTATATATATAATTTACATAAATAGTGTTAAAAAATTAGAACAATTTCTAACTCTCCTTAAAATACACGTCTAAGTTTCTAAATTAAAAGATGTGGGTAAGTATTCATTAATAATAGAAATGACTGATTTATTTTTTCATTAATTATGTTCTAAGTAAAAAGGCAGTGCATGTTTTTAAAACTAAAAAGAAATGTAAAGTAGATCAAATGTAAACGTTGCACTGAGTTTTCTGTTTGATAATGACATGCCAGTGAGTTTTGAAGACATGAACAAGTTGGGGAAAAAAACATTATTGAGACCGAAGAAGAAACCTGTCTCCATCTTCGACAAGTGGCCCAAGCTAAGAGGGAATGGTTGTCATTTTTACCCTCCACGTTAGCTGTCTGATGCAGGTCAGTAGAGGAAAACTGGGTTAGTTTATGTGGAGCTTCACAGATACGGTAACATAAGTAAATCTAAGGTTATCTGTGGGCTCAACACACGATTTGATAAATTAAGACTAGACTTTAAGATGACAGGAAAATGATATTTTTTTGTTAAATCAGATAATCAATTGTCATATATCATACTCTGTACACTTAAATTGATATTAGAAATGTTCAAAATTAAACAAGGTAATAAATAAATGAATTTTAAAAAATTCACTAATTAGTTCATTTTAATAATGAAAATAAAAGATGAATTACCTTGTATGGCATGTCATCATAGTCAGCAGAAAACCTGTATTCTTGTCTGAACTGTCCCATGAGCGTGTGGGGAGAGTCAGCCTTTTCTCTCTTCTTCTCTGAAGAGCTGTCTGTGTCTGTGTAGGAACCTGGAGCAGCAGGAGTGGCTAGTTTATTTGTGGAGGAAGGAGGGAGGAGAGAATAAAAGAGACAAGTTGGCATGCAGACTTTACCCACAGGTATGATTATTATGGAGTTATTGGTGTTAGAGTGTTGTTACATCTATTTTATACTGATATGAAACATGAAAGCGAACATGAAATGAAATATACTGGTTTTTGGAAACCAAATCAAACACATACTTACCTTGCTATAACAATTGATTAATTTTAATTAATAAAATAATTTTGGTTATGACTTTTTAAATTTCTCTTAAGTTACAAGTTTTAGAATAAATTTTGCACAAACAAAAATTAAACCTTTTTATTTATAACTTTCTTCCGTAATTTTTAAAAATTACTTGAACATGCAATCCATTCCAACATTTATGAAAATAACTGACAAAATGCAAAATTATTTTTTAAAGGAAAAAAATGCATCAAACCAGTATTTTAATTGAATAATGCGTATACTGAAACCACACAAAATTCAAGCCTATATCTTTGATCACTACAATTAAAGAGTTTATTAAAATTATTTTTTTAATGAGCACACAATGACCTCTACTAACGAAGCAGCAAAACAGGAATGATAGTTGACTAATGAAATCAATCGCCCTTTTTTCTATACCTTTCAGCTTCTCTGATGTAGACAAGAGTAGCCTAGGGCTGTTGGTGGTGTTAGAGTGGTTGGTCAAGCCAGGCGCTGGCAGCACGTTTTCACTGCCACCAAACTCAGAGCTAGTCTTCTTGGTCAGGTCTTGAGGAATTCAAATATGCAGACAAGTCAGTCATTACCTGGACATGCAGCTTTATGCCAACACACAACACAGAAAGCAGGTAGGGAAAAGCTCAGCTGGTGGCAAACTTAAATCTAATTGATTGGGTTTTTTAAATAATGTGGGTTTAACCTTAACTCATGCATTTTGTTAATTACAATATAGATACTATATTTGTTAGTTATTATATTAGGAAGGTTATAATATCTAATAAAAAAAAACAAGCAAAAATACTTTAATAGAAAATAAATACTCTTAAAACTTTTGTTTATCCTATGTTTTTTAAAATAAAAAACAAAAACATTTCACGTATAAAATAATTATTACAGGAAGCTAATGTTTCAAAATGAAGTATAATTTATTAAAAGCTAATTCAAAAAGTTGAAAAAGAGATGACATAAAAACACATGCATTAAAAATTACCTCACAAGTTCTTAACACATTTTCATGCAAATTTCATTAAATTAAATATTACTAAACAACTGTTGGGATTTCAATTTCAAAATGAAATAAAAGTATATGTTGGCTTATTTTTAAATTATTATCAAATAAATAAAACTGCAGTCTTTTTTTTTAACCTCAAAAGAAGAACAATAATAGGATTTGATTATAATGATGTTTGATGCATGCTGTAATGCAAACCGAAGAGGAAGAAAACTAAATAGCAACAAAGAGGGATAAAGCAATCAAGCAATAAGTGGCAAGACACAGAATATAATGAATTTACATTTTTGCTGAATATTTAAAAATAGAATTATATTTCATAATTTTAAAAAAATATACTCATCTGATAACTCAAGATGATAAAAATACTTTGATCTTCTCTTAGTTTAGAGATTTAAGGGTAAAGCACTGTTTAAAACAATAGTAGGGTTGTTTCCCTTATTTCATTAGAAATTGCTTTCAAATGTCTAGAGGCATAAAACTACATGTTTAAAAAAATGTTTTGCCACTTGTGTGTTACTGAGCCAAAGCGCCAGTGGTTACTGCTGACAATCTCACCTAAAACACTACCTTGGTCCTCTTTCTTGCATTTCCTGTACAGAACACAGACCAGCGCTGTCACGAAGATTAAAGCCAGGCCTCCAATGATTCCAATAATGATGTAGGTGATGGGTAGAATATCTGGTTAAAATTAAATGGTGACAAAGATTTATTTACCAAACATGTACTTTTTAATTACCAAACATGTTGTATTCAAAAAACTATTAAACTGCAACCAATGAAAATAAGCTTTTTAAACTAAATTTTTTTGTAAGCAATGCAAAATTCACATGGAAGGAGCTTACACTGAAAATGGAAATGAATACAACATCTAAGCCATGGCCTATACACTGTCTTTTTAATGTATTTTTTTGTGTGTAAAATCGCTCATCATTATATTAGCACTGCTTAAAAAAAAAAACCTTTTCATGCTAGAGATATTAGAAGGCTCGTATATAGAACAAAATATAATCATTATATTTTAATGACATAACTAAATATAATTTTGTGTGGAAATTAATAACACTGTTCACATACCCTTCCCCCTCAACTTTATAAATCATCCAATTTAAAGTAGAAAATATATGTACAAATAAATTCATCCATAAGCTCATGTTATTTTAATAAATTTTATAAAATTATGCATGTATGAAATGTTTGTGAGATATTCACCATGGCCATATTACTTAGACAAACCCTTGCATTTGACTTAAAGCATGGATGAAGATGTCAAATGATAACTCACGTTTCTCAACAAGCTCAATTTGCTCAGTAGCAATGCCATAATTGTTTTCCACAGTGCAGTTAAAATAACCAAAGTCCTCGTTTTTTATCCCATGAATGTGGAGAGTGCTCTTGACACCATATGTCAAATCTTTATCTTCCTTAGAGAACCTCCCTGATGAGGGATAATGTATTGGTTTGCCTCCCTTTGACCAGACAATGGAGATGGGTTTGGGTATGGACTGAGCAATGCACTCCAGTTTCCCTCTTTCCCCTTCTGTTCCCATCTGTTGTTTTTCACTTTTCATATCAGGTTTGTCTGTTATTGTAAGCAAATATAAAGGACAAGTGTAAGTAGGTGAGTACTCCAAAGGTTAAACCTTAAACCTGAGAACTATATTTATAGCTTGACTTAAGAAGCCCTTCACAATTAAGGGACTAAATTAATTTTTTTTAAAGATACTTCATATTAATATGTAGAATTTAGTGATAATTATTAATTAAATGAGTACATGAAAAAGAAAGTTCATAGATGTTGTAGCTTAATTGTAAAAGAAATATTTTTAAAAGTGACAATATTACTTTTTTGAGAAAAATAAATAAATTAATGTAAAAGGATGTTGAAATTCTGTAATTTCTTCACAAATGGATGAGCTTATAAACTGAGAAACACCATTTTTTATGAAAAACTGATATTACAGATGAAACTTACACTTACCAATATAATACAAATTCAGTTTAGGGACTAGGAATTAGGGACTGAAAACATCTAAATGAATTTATAGATATGACTAACAGATACGTAAATCAATATCGCACAATGACAGTTATTGCTATGGATCTGGCTAAAAGTGCTTTGGTTTAGTGTTAGAACTAGGGTTTTGGGTTAAAGAACTGTTATCAACCATACCAGCTAAACATATACATAATAATATATGAGAGATGAACAAAAAACAAGCTTACCATTTTTTAGGAGCATGACCTCTCTGCTCGTATCGGGGAAGCCAATCACAGATCCAATACAAACATACCAGCCAAATGTGTGGTTTGTCACATTGCTGATGTGAAATGTGCTTTTGGTCACAAGGGTGCGTGAGGCATGCGTGACTCTGTCTTTGCGCCTCCAGATAATGCTAGGCTCAGGGTTTCCTCTCACCTCACAGGTCAGGACAGCAGTTCCGCCCAAATCTGCTCCCACAACTTCTGTTAAGCTTTCAATACGTGGACCAACTAAACCAGAAAAAATGCAAATAATTTCTTCAACATTTCTACCAGACATATTTTACTATTTTGTAAAAACCAATGCAAAGAATGCAAAATTATAAACACCCCCTTTCATTTTTTAGGAGTGTTAATGATTTGCAAACTAATATCAAGATTTGCTAAAGAGAAAAGAAATGTAACTATTGTTTTTTTTTAAAAAAAATTCTATTTATTAAACTTTTGTAAAATAAATGCTTTTAAAATATAGGTCTATATAAATTAAAATAAGGTAAGTATTACTTATCTACATACATTCCACATTGAGAAGTTTGTCTATCCGAGTTGTGCCGACTGAGTTGGTTGCCTCACAAGATATTTTTTTACCATTATAATCAGGTGAGATGTCTTGGATATGGTGGAACTTGAAATTGCTATCAGGAATCGGCTTATCATTAAAATACCACCTGAGTTTAAAGTAAAAATTAAAATGTCATCATGAGAGAAAACTAATGTATATAAACAAAGCAAGAATATTATTCCATAGCAGGCTTTTTATATTTAACTGATTGACTAGGACAAGAATCTTCTAAAACAAATATATCTTAACCTTTTGATGAAGTAGTTCTATCATTAATTTCTTTTTAACTTACTATTCAGTCTAAGTATTAAAGTGGACCTATAGAAAACTTTTAAAAACAACATTCAATAGCAATAACAAACTTACTTGTACACAACTAGAGATGGATGAGCATTGCCAGAACATTCAAATGAGACGTAGTCATGTTCCTTGATGTTTCTTTCTGATATATTGGTTTTTAATTGTAGTGTTGGGGGATCTGTACAGACATATACAACAAGCATCCAATGGTCAGGTTCAGGTATATAAAACTTTTACAAATATATCTTGTTAAATATTAAACTTGTTTTAGGTTTTAACAAAATATGACATGTCAAATATTAAATTTGTTTAGGTTTTTAAAAAAATAAGATTTGTTTATTATTAAACTTATTTAGGATTTAGAAAACATTTCTTATAAATTTTTTTATTTGTAAAGGCCACAAAAAGTAATTTAAATTTGATCTGGCACTATACAAACAATAATTTATCAAATATAAACATTTTTAAAGTGCATGTCTTAAATCTCATCCACATCCACAACTTTGTCCAAATTTTAAAGAGTAGTAAAACCACTTCTTACACTGAACTTCAAGAATAGCTTTATCTTTCATTGGGCTGTGCATAAATTCTGTCATGGCCTGACACTCAACCTTCTTTGAAGTATCTGTTAATGTTGCATTGAATGTCAAGACACTTATGGTGTTCAGGTATTTTCCGTTTGGCTCTGTTGTTGTGTGCACACCATTTGTAATTCTTTCTCCATTCAGATGCCATGATATGTGCGCTGCAGGTTTTCCTAATTTAGGGAGAAAAATTTTTACGAGACAAATTATAGTTTTGTTTAAAGCTTCCCTTGCATTTCAATGAAACTGTATGTATGTCATTAATGAAAAAAAAGAGAACAAGTACAATTGTTTTATATTCTAAAATATTTCATATCTGGATTTCACTATCAAGTGTTTTAACTTTTCTTGGTATATTAAAAACTAGCTAAATAAAGATGTCATACCTTTTTCAGCTCTGCATATAATATTGGTTGGTTTGTTAACAATTACTGCAACAGTTTCAACCGCTGCTTCTCGTACAATGTACACCCTCTCAGGATTCACTAGTGAGACAAAATTGTTTTCAAATGTATGTCAGTTGTTAAACATTTTTTTTTTAGATCTACAATGTACACTTAACTGTCTATTATCAGAAAATAGTTCAAACTATGTTAATCATATGAAACTAAATATAGGTCTATACTTTCATCTGAGTTCATGACAAGGCCTATAACTACAAAAATAAAATAAAACATAGGGAGTGGTAGGCCTATATGGTAATTATATTTTTAAACTATTTTCTACATAGATAAAGGCTCTTTTAACATAGATATTAACCAATTCAAATTTTTACTTTATTAAATATGTGATGTTATTAAACACAAGTAGTAACCCCTAGTTTTCACTTTGTGAACAAGCGAGGTTCCATGTTTACAGCAGCCTAACCTAATTAATGTTCATAACCTACCAACAACAGTCAAATACACAGGAGAGCTCCGCAATCCTTGTGGATATCTATTTGAAGTTGAGACTTGACACTCATATCTGTCTTCATCATCAATTGAAACATTGCGTATTAGGAGATTATACTCCCCTGTAAACAACAAGTCAAATTTAAAATTTAGAATACTGAAATTTTTTTTTTCTCTGCTGGACAAAAAACATTGATGATGATTCCAATTCGATATGATCAAAGGGGAATGATCAAGGATTTTGAATGTAAAATGTTCATTGCCATACACCTATCCTATATTAAGAGCAGTTTTTAAAAATATTTCCATGATCTTTAATTCTTAGATCAAATATTAGTTTTGTAATTTAGATTGAGAAGTGTTTTAGCATGTGTAAAACATTGCAGGTCCAGTAGGAATATGATGTAGTGAACAGTTTCTTCCAGGCATCTCTTCGGGGGGGGGGGGGGGGGGGGGGGGGGGCTTCCCTGATAATTTTTTACCGCCCCCCCCCCCTCCCCCGAAGAAAGTTTACCACCCCCCAGAAAATTTCAAGTGCCCCCCCCCCTGGAAGAAACACTGGTAGTGAATGTAGGCCTACTCAAAACTTTTACCCATAAATATTTTTAAAAAAAAACACATGACCTAGAATCTAGTTCAGCCATGATTGTAAATATTTTGAATTTTGTGCAATAAAATTAATAAAGAATGAAATTGTTCTTGCCTTTTTTTATAAATTGTGTTTAGTTTACCCAGTTTACTGAAAATACTAAAACTAAAACATCAAATAGAATTTAGTAGACTAGATCTATTCTATAGATTAGTATAGATCTAATTAAATTCTATATCCAACTTTGACCTTAAGCCTTAACTTCCCTTAAGTATTAATATAAGTAATAATAAAATAAAGTATAAAGTAAAGTCCATCAGCCAAAAGTTAAAGTCAGATTTTTATAACCACATTTATTAGGCCTAAATTATTTATTTTAATAAATAAGAGTTAAGAGTTAGATCTAGATCTAATCAATTCTAATCTAGAGTGAGCCTCTAGCTAGACTCTAGTCTAGAATAGAACGTCGTACGTTTTTACATAATCTTCAGATCCCAGCTCATTTTAAAAAACTTAGCAATTATTAAAATGTATTACTGGACATAAAAATTCTTGAAACTCGTTAGCAAGCAGGTTTACAGGTTCTTGTCTGCTATCACAATAATAAAATTGATTGTAACCGAAAGGAAGTGGCCAGATAAAACTAGACATTAGAAAAGATTACGACCCAATTAATTTTCATAGGCTGCATGATGAAATGTATTTTTTTTCAATTGTTTTTTCAATTTTAAAATTTAGGCAAGTATTAGTTTTAATACTTAGAAGGTAGTATTATAAACTATTAAAACTAGCGTCCTTAAATGTATTTCTTCGCAAAGTTTTATTGTAAGGAAAAATTAATTAAAAAAAACAAAAAAAAACAGAATTTTATTGAGCTAGTCATGTCTGCTTTCTGTGCGCCATGTCTAAGAATGTCTAAGATAATCTGCTAAATGAAACTTATTAGGTCCATTACAAAAGCTGTCAGTATTGTAGTTTCTCGAATGGGCTTCTGCGATAGACCTAATTTAATATAGGGCCTATAACGGTGACAATTAGGAAATAATGTATGCAGAGTCGTAGCGAGGGGGGGGGGGGGGGGGGGGTGCGGGTGGTGCGGACCGCACCGGGTGAAAATTTGAGGGGGGGGGTGCAAATCGAAAGTTTGAGGGGAGGTGCAAATCGAAAATTAAAAGTTTGTCCCCGGGAAGAGTCGCTACGCCTCTGATGGGGTGACACCATTAAGTGCCGCACCGGGTGACACCCGACCTCGCTACGCCACTGAATGTATGCATTAACACTGAAACAGACAGCAACTGGGCACTTTATTCAAATGATTAGCTTACTAGATCTATATGCGCTAAACAAGTAGTCCTGTGCGGCAACTAGTAGGCATATTCAGTGGCGTCACTAGGTCGGGTGTTACCGGTGCTGTTGTCACTACCACCAACAATTTTGCATTTTCGGTTTGATGTCACCCCTCAGCCCTACTACTTGTTATTTTTACTGTATAAAATAGTATTTTGAAGGTACATTTTAAAATGTTTTAATTTGGCACAGTGTTTCTTCCAGACTTTTTTTCTCTGGGGGTGGGGGGGGGCACTTGAAATTTTCGGGGGGGGGGGGCGGACACTGCTAAAAGTATATATTTTCTATATACGTTATATACATTTCATTTCGTTCGGGGGGGGGGGGGGAAGAGATGCCTGGAAGAAACTCTGATTTGGCATCACCCCTAAAAGTGGTATCTGCGGACTGCGGACCGCACCCCTTCCTTTAGCCTATTGACGCCTTTATGCCTATATTTAAATCATATTTATTATTTTATTGCTATAAAAAAGTTATATACGGTAAAAGGGCTGTTCAGCGCTCAACAATGGTTAATAATTTTTTTTTAATATTACGCCATGATAAAAAGTCTTAATAGTTGTTTTATTTGTTTATTGTTGTTTTTTTTTTCTCTCAAAGAATCCTAAGATAATAAAATAGTCAAGATTTTTTTTCGCGAGTCTAAACTTCCAAGCTGGATTTAACATTATTATAGTAAAAAAAAAACCACCACGAATATGGTTCGTTTTTCTAGACCCACCCACACTGATATACGTCGAATACATACATCACTATACCTTTCTTGTGTACTGCTATTTTCACCAGGATCCCGGTATTTAACATAATTATAAGAAAATAAGAAAAAAAAAAGAAAAGTTATTACGATCACGATTTGTTTTTCTAGACCCACCCACACCTGATATACCTTAAATATATACAATATACATCAGTACACCCCTCTAGTGTACCGATATTTTACCCAGGATCCCAATCACCGGTTTTGTCTATTTGTATGCACTAGCGCCACTAACGCGCATCTGCGCAGCATCACGTTCGAGCTGTTTATAAAAGTTGCAGCAAAGGGGACGTAACTCACCGGGCCTGTGAAACAATGTTATCGTCCCCTGGGTGGGGAAGGTGAGCCCGGGGAAATACTGCGAATGGGAGGTCCAATGTAAGTTACTTTGACAGATCTGGGCGTTGCGTGTGTTGTCTGCCGCTGTGTTATTATACTGGTACTAGATATTAACGCGAAAAAATCTTTTCGTCGCAATTAACTCACGTTAAGGGAAGCTGATTCACGACTAATTGTTTTTTTTTTCAAACTAATAATTCGCTTTAGTAGAATATTCCACATAGGTAAATAGTTCGTACATCAAAAGGTTTAATAAAGTTCATACTTTGTACAATATTCAGACAGACATTTCATTAAATGTTAAATTACTCAGTTCGTTATAATAATCATAGTTTAAAGCCCCATATAGTTAGCGTTGAGCAATTAGCTCCTAATTATCAACCTTAATGAGACAATCCGGTATAGGTTCTACACTAGATACCGTAAATTCCATTCACAACCATGTCTATTTTTAGTAACAGAATCTGAGGAAATTTCTAAACGTAGATAGAGTTGGTTAAGTGGGTAAAATGATGAATATAGGAGTGGGGAGGTGTGGGTGGATGTGTTTGTGGGGAAGTGTGTGTGTTTGTGTGTGCTGGGGTGGGGGGGGGGGCTCATCACATCAGAGTTAAACTCTCGACGGAGAAGCACTACACTGCTATATATAATTTTATAATTTATATATATATATAAAATATTTACTTTACCCGCTGTACGCAACCACGTCCTCGAAAGTTTCAAGTAGATATCCCCCCCCCCCCGGAGAAACATGTCTGAAAGAAACTCTGGTAGCCAAAACATTTCGGTGGGTCTCAATTTAGCATTTTAACATTAATCGAACAGCTATAAGGAATCTTTCAGTGGTTCAAAATTTTGTGGTCTCACTCAAGTGTTCGCATGCAAGCATAGTGTCGACATCCACACATTCAAATTCAATATCCTGTACGCAAGTGTGATAAGGACCGATACATACCAAGTATCTAAATAGAAACGTCCGCGCTTGTCTAAATGCGCACTTGAGAAAGCAGTTCAACGGGAAACGAAAAATCACGTGATATCTATTTTTGTTCAGCTTTGCGATATACATGCGATTGTTGTTATGTTTTGAGTGAAAGAAATTTTGTTAGGAAAAAAAATAAGTTTGGAATTTTGATACATTTCTTGTTTGTCGGATAAGCGTTCCTTGTTTTAAATCAATGTACTTTTATTCCAGGTTGTTTAAACATTTTCGACATGTTATTTAGGGGAATTTGTTGTATCTAAATTGTTGTAAGTCTATCGAATTTTGGAAATAAGTAGTCGAGTACCCTTTTAGACTAGATAAAGTAGAGGTCATATGTTTCTATGGCCTAGGAATATCTAGTTAAAAATCTTTCTCCTATTAGGATAAGGTATTTATTAGAGCTGGGTGGACTCGGGGACGTCATTTCATTGTCGAGTTCGAGAAACGAACCCTTGCCTTTCGGGTTACCATTAGAGCGCTCCTACACTGACCTACATTCAACCACACCACCCCTATAGGGCTGGTAAGTAGGTCACCAACCAGTTCTACGGCTCAATAAAACCTGCATGAGCCATAGAACTGGTTGGTGACCTACTTACCAGCCCTATATGTAAAACATATCACTGTAAAAAACAAAGCAGACGAAATATAATATCCATCACACTAAAATAACTCTTAATAATGCATGAAGAGAATTTCGTCACACCAAGCGAACTTTACCAGAACGATTCGAAATGCTAGTTCACGACACGAAAAACTTGCACGTAAACACTTTTTTTTAAGCATAGCCTCGGTTTCGAATCTTGGCGGGAATTAGAACCTAATGAGATAATCTTCGTTATTTCGCGCGATCCCACGGAGACTTAACGACAGTAATGAGTGTGATTGGGGGTTCTGGGTGACTAGATCGCTGCCAGGGTTTAGAGAGGTGGGGGGGGGGGGGGGGGTGGAGGGGATAAGGTAGTGTGGGATGGATAAAATAAAATATAAATGTGTTGAATGAGCCAGCCTCCGAAATTCCACAAAGAAAGCTGCAAGTGAGGTTAAAAAGTAGGATTCCAACTCTACCTCTTTCGATTATTAATTGCTCAGAAAGTTTCAATATAAAATACATTGTTTCTTTCAGACATTTTTTTTTCAGAGACGGCAATCGAAACTTTCGAGAAAGGGGTGAGGGGTGGGGGGGGTGGTGGGAGGCGGACATACATTTCCAGGGTGCAGACACTGATTAAGATATATATTTTCTAATTAAATATAAATTTAGTATGTTTGGAGTGGGGGGAGGGGGGATTTAGCGGAATCATTTAGCTCAGTTCGTCTTGCAGACAAAAAAACTTGACTTTTTGATTGAAGTGTGATACAATCCTAGAAAAATTTGAACTTAGAACTCTTAGGTTACTGAATAAGCTTTACCCCTCCCCCCACCCACCCCACGTGATCAGCCCATCATGAACAGAGCTACTGATTAATTTTAAGTGTGACACCTTGCTGAGAGCGATTTAGTTTTAACGCATTGACTATCTATGTAGCGACATACCAGTGTACAATTTAGGAACCGAAATTTTAAGCATCTCTTGTTAGCGACATGTGAACTCTACTTCACTCGCTCCATGAACCGTCAGGTTCGAAAAGGGAACTTACATCCACTCACATAGAGTATGAATTCTGATTTCTTTTATTCAGGGTAGGAAAATATAAAAAAAACTGATTACGAAAACAAGAGCTATTTTTAGATTTCGCCACTTCCGTTTCTTGAGTGCGCATTCATCATCAAGGTGAGTACTTACCCCTGCGTTCAGAGCCGACCATCGAGTATCTCTCAAAACCTTCCAGTTCCCGGTCAATACCGAGACCAAATCCGCCTTTGGTCCACTGGACATCGCCGTCCAGTTCGGTGATGGTGCAGTTGAAGACGAAGTCGACCTGCTCGGCCACTGAGGCGTTGCTGGGGTGGACTAGAAACCTCATGCGGCACTCGGCTGTGGATAGAACAACATTACGATGGTGAAAGTAGAACAATAAACATTACGATGGTGAAAGTAGAACAATAAACATTACGATGGTGAAAGTAGAACAATAAACATTACGATGGTGAAAGTAGAACAGTAAACATTACGATGGTGAAAGTAGAACAATAAACATTACGATGGTGAAAGTAGAATAATAAACATTACGATGGTGAAAGTAGAACAATAAATATTACGATGGTGAAAGTAGAACAATAAACATTACGATGGTGAAAGTAGAGCAATAAACACTAGGATGGTGAAAGTAGAACAATAAACATTACGATGGTGAAAGTAGAACAATATACAATAAGATGGTAAAAGTAGAACAATAAACAATACGATAATGAAAGTAGAACAATAAACATTACGATGGTGAAAGTCGAACAATAAACATTACGATGTGAAAGTAGAACAATAAACAACAATATACAGATAAAAATAGAACAATATCAGAACATACAAATGTTAATAATAGAAAAATCCATTAAAAAAATAAAACAATGTAATGTTCGCATTTGAAAAACGATATGTTGATACTAAAGCGGAAGTGATCTGCCCTAACTTTCTCACATATTCTTATACTGATAATACTTCCCCAATACTCAGTCTTATAAAATTATAAGTGTTGGGTGGTTATGTGGTCCTGTATTGGTGGTATTTTTTTTGTCTGTTAAAAATAGATCAATAAGATAGTAATAATAGATTAATGCGCGGTTAAAGTACAACAATGAACTGCTCAAGTAGCACAACATTAAAATAGGACGATGTACCGTCAAAATAAATAAAAATTATATTTGTAAAGAGAACACCAATGTGTAATGACAAATGCAATTATATATATATAACCCAAACTACACAACATACCAGTTGTTTTGCAAGGACCAAAAACTTATTTTTACACTTCGAGCAGAGAAAGAGAAAGACAACTTCAAGAAACAGCATTTTTTTTTCACGTCATATAAAATGTGTAAGTAGCTACTTTATTCATGATCAAAATAGAAAACCTCAAACACTAATCGTGGAAAAATCTCTGACATGAGATATCGTTAATAGAGAACATTTTCCCATTACACCGGGCCATAAATTTCTAACAGAAACAAAAACTCTACCCCCACAAGCAAATGTCGATGTGATGATAGTCAGTGCATGTTGGGATACAATACGTCCCTCGGGGTACGTACGGTCGGGTTTCTAAACAAACCGACGACTAGATACTCGAGTACAGCGTCCTAAAGACTAAACAGCGACGCGGTGCATTGTGGGTGTGGCACGGGGGGGGGGGGTGGTGGTCCTCCCCGGGACCTGGTTCACGTGCTGACCTACGAAGTACCAAATGTGAAAGTATGACGTGTACACAATGTTATTATACATCACTTAATTTCATAATGAGTTAAAAATTTAATAGCCCATTCTAGTTCTAATCATAATCCCACGAATATTTGTAATGCTTTTGTAAAATGAACGATGTGCATATTTTATATGGTTCATAATCATTTTAAAATTATTATTTTTCTTATTTTTTAAATATTTTTTTTCCCATTTTTTCCCCTAGGTCTGATTATATTTTAACGTGATTAAGTTGAAAGCCCAATGACGACACCCTAAGATAACAACTAATAACATTCCAAGCCGGCAATTTCACAACCAGCTTGTTTGGTTTACCTCCCTATAAAACAAGCCAATAGTTTAAAAAATAACAACCAGAACATAAGGCCTAAACGTGAGAGTTCAATAACTACACATCTGCCCTACATTAGCAGGTAGTAATGATATCACAACATAACTGATTACGTCATTCACAGGTAATTTGCTATTGGCTACGTTACAACATTTATGTTTTTTAAGTAACGATGTATTACACACATGTTGAGATTTGTTTATTTTCTTTCCCAAGTACAAAATATTTACATTGATATCTACCTTTACCTCCCCCCCCCCCCCCCCGGCTCATACTGCAAGGTTTATGAGTTCACAACATCCATATATGGATTTAGCCCATATATATTTTTCACAAATATGCAAGAATATATACTCTGAAAGGAATGATATATATGCAAGAATATATACTCTGAAAGGAATGCTGCTTAGCGTTTATTTTTATCTATTTTTAATTTTGTTTGTAAAATGTTACAGTAACTACTACTTTGTAAGATTCTCAAAGGCGACATTCTTAAGGAACTAATTTTCAGCCTCCAGCTAATTTTAAAAAAAAAGTGTGTTCTCTTAGCATGGCTAATGTTAAGTCTACCTTGTAATGGTAAACATTTTTTGTTTAAATAAAGGAGAAACAACTTCACATTCCATGTACACAACATAAATACCAGTTATAAGAACACACGTTCAGATCTACATACCAACAATAACATAGTTTTTGGCCATAGCCTACAGTTAAGGTAAATCTGAACGATCGGTTGTTGTTGAATAGCGAAGTAAATGTGTATTGTGGGGTACATCACGAAAAGACAAAAGCCATAGACCATTGGGAAACATGGTTTTTTTTTTTGTTCCTTTGCTTATCTTGTCCCTACGCCAAAGAGCCAAGGAAAGGTCAATTAGCAAGGGAAATTACCTGTTAGTGGCCGTATGAAAGGGAGGTAAATATGTAGATTATTTTAACAGACCGAGGTCACGTGGAGCGGGAGGTCAGTAACTGGCAAGCGTGATGTACTCTGGACGTGTGTCTGTGTTGTTTTTGTTGGAGCATTTCTCCAGGACGGGATTTATTTTGACCAACAACATTTTTAACACGGGCGATGAGGAATCGTAGCAGGCTTGACATAGACTGAATTGTATTTATACTAGCAACAAGAACGATACTGATTACTGACTACAGGGCGATACTGACTATAAGGACGATACTCACGACAAGAACGATATTGACAATAAGAGTGTAAATGACTATAAGTACGATACTGACTACAACAACATTTCTGACTACCAGAACGATATTGGCTGCAAAACGTAGCAGTCATTACTTGAAATATTGTTTTAAATACCCCGAATAAAGTCACCGTTTTGACAAAACATCAGTTTATAATTTTGCTAAGAAAATACGATTTTATTAAATATACAAAGATAGGTTAGGATGGTTGTGAACGCTGCTTTGGAATGCTCTTTTTACTATTTAGCGAGTCATCCCCATAAGTTTGTCAGAACAACCTAGAATCGAATCACAACAAAGCTAGAACCAGTGAACGCTCGTTGAATTAATATTTAAACGCACGGCGACTAGTTTGACGGAAGAGTAGGATTATCCGGGAGGGCTGACTGGGCTGCAGTGATGGGTCATCACACTTAAGGGCCATCGAAATGTTTTCTTTGGGCTAAAACAAACTATAAACAGCCCTCGTTGGTAGTATAGTTATAGGGTTACCCAGATAGCTCGTTCCTGGGCATTGGGTTTGTGCCTCGTGAGTTGAGTACTTAGCTGTTCGGCTCTATCATTGATGGATCACCCCTCCCCCCTCAACAAAGATAAAAATAATATGTTGCCGCTAAATATGAATGTTAGATGTGAAATATATAGGGTAAATACGGAGTGTGATTGGAATATTTTAATACTAAAATTCGTTAATGTGTAAAAGTCATTTTAAATTATTTATGTTTTTTTGGTGACTCTCTATGTCGTAAAGTTTACTTTGTAGCATTTGGTCGAATTTAAATTTGATCAGACATTAAGATGTTAAGATGCCTCATTTCTTTTCGTAGCCATTGATGATTAGTGCGGCCCTCTCTTTCATTAAACAGACGTCCAAATTGTCACATAAAATTTGCTACGTATGCCCAAGACCTGATTTATACACTATTTAATGGACCTACCCTCCTCTCCAGATTCCTTTAACTTGTTTAAACTATTTGACCCCCCCCCCCCCAAACCTTATAAATACTCATTAGTTGTATGACATATGCCCCATGACTTTATGTGCAACATGTCATCAATCACGCGCATTAAAGCGCCCCCTCACCTAGCTGTCTGCCTAATACTATAGTTTTTTTTTGGCCAACTTTTCGATTACAATAAATTCTTTTGACCGCATGCCAAATCGGCACACTCTAAAAATAACGCGCAGAAATCTAATATTCAGGATTAACTTCTTCTGACTCGGTTGCTCCAGATTTTTGTGTCAAGCCTGCTGTCATATTTTACAGACAGAAGGTAGATACATTTTTCATTTGGTTTGATTTTTTAAATAATGAGACTGGTAAATATATTAAAAACAAGCCAGATTTGTGTGTGGTATCGGGATAAAAAAAAGGATCATTACATGTAATTATTACTTGGAAGGTCTATGAAATGGCGGAAGGTAAATACGTTCTAAAATATATATTTAAAAAAAGGAATTACTGTATAGAAGAGGGTGTTTATGCAAAAATCCGCGCTTAATTTTAATATTGATTTCAACAACAACAATCAAACAGTTTAGTTAGAGTCTATGTATCTGTCCTATAAAGGTATATGAACAGAGGATCTAAAAATAAAATGTGATATGCTGTTAATAAGACTTCAGTTCCAGAAGGTACGATCGATATGACAGGTGAAGTAGAGTTCATCTGTTTCTGTGGCCATGGCATATCCAAGTATAGTAAACCCTATAGGAATCAAGTAAAAAAAGGCCCAAGTAAAGAATATCAAACAGGCTCCAGTCTGTGGCCAAACTCGATCCTTCCGAGTTATTCACCGTCCGCTCTGTTGCTCGACCAGTCCACTACCACTGAAGATGCTCATCATCATCTCACAACGCATATTGACGCAGGCAGCATCAACAAGTGAGCGCCATTTTATCCTGTCTACTAGCTGTAACCTCTGCCTGTTGGAATGTTAGGCCTCTTTTCTTCAACTTTCTCCATTGATCTTCTACATATCTTTTTTGGTTTCCCCACGTTTTCTTTAGCCCTGTGGTGTCCATCTACGATCAATCTTGGCCAATGCATCTACTCATATTCTTAGCATACGGCCTCACCATCTCAGTTTCATTTGTCATTGTCTGATAACTACTATTTTGAAAATACTACTTTAATTACATTTACTAACAGTTTCGGAAATAAAGATTATTATGGCAGAAAATTAGGTTTATAATTTTTAAAATATTATATTTTTATGGTAGTTTTAAAAAATGTGTTTGTTCAAAAGTCTTATTGCGATGGAGGCATAAATATGCTTATCATAAAGCTTAGCACTAAAACTTACCAACAACACACAATTTTAGAATTGTTTGTTATTACAAAAAAACAACAACAAAAAAAAAAAAAAAAAAAAAAGACGGCAAGAAAGAGCAGTCAAAAACAAAGATCTACTTAAAGACATCGACCCAACGTAGTCTGATTAGAACTCAAAGTATGGTTTCTGGAATATGGGAAGCTCAGGGCCGGAAATAAAAACACAACAAAATGGGATTATTTTTCCGTATTTGTTGACCTTAACAACAGACGAACAAGATCTCATTAGATCTAATCCATTCAGCTTTTTTAACATTCGCACTTTAAAAAAAAAATCGTATCGATGTATTTTTTTAAGATGATGACGTTTATGAGTGCAAAATTATCTTTCAAACCATGTGGGAAAAAAACAACTAAAATGCAGAACACGGCATGTAGCATCTCATGTGAAGATACCATTATGTATTACCATGTTTGTAGAACCAGCATATGTTTGTTATTGGTTGAGTATGTTTGTTTGTTTATCATGCAGTGCTTTATCTATCTAAAGTGTAGTAAATATTCCTCTTTAGCCCTACCGATCCATTGGGCAGATCCTAATATCTTGACCACTACCTTCCTAATATCTTGACCACTAACTCTCCTACATATCTTGACCACTTACTCTCTAACATATCTTGACCACTTACTCTCTAACATATCTTGACCACTTACTCTCTAACATATCTTGACAACTTACCTCCACTGAACACCAGTCCACTGAATATAATAAAAACACAAAAGGCGTATTCCCTCAAAGCTCGACAAGTGTTCGAGAATGTCCAGTCCACAAAATGTCTTTGCTGGACATTTTTTCGATGTTGTGAGACCTTCTGCTGCCTGGGATGGACCTCAACAAAATGGCCGCCGTGACGTTGGCATAGCCGTTGGCGGGGTCGTTGAGGTCTTTCCTGAGATGGTTGATGACGTTGTAGCAGAGGATGTTGCTGTAGCGAGTGTTGCTGCTGCTGGTGGTGGTGGTGACGAGGCCGTTGGTTGAATCTTGGATCGTCAGCCTCCATGTTGTTACAACTTTAGATCACGTGATTCAGTGCCTAAAACAAAAACAGTATTTACAATTATTCAACTGTTTAAAAATCCGACAAAGATTATTTTCTAACTTCAAAATTACACGTAATTAATTTTTTTAAAATGCTACAATTTTTTTAGCAAATCTAAAAGAAAATCAGGCTGAAATCGGAGTCAACGGCCTCAATGACGTATAACAAGTTGACACGTATACTTAATAGTGTTGGGGAAAATACCATCCAAAACTAAAAAGAAGAAGAAGAAGATTGTTTTACTCATTAAAAGGTTCAGATTTAGGAAAAAATAACAGAACTTCGATGCGTGTGACAAACCAACAAACAAACAATAAGAAATACAAAGAGAGAACAGTCACAAGTTAATGTGAACTTGAATGAATCAGCCCTACGGTATGTAGACAAGGCTCGAAGAAAAATCAGAAGGCATTATTTTTGTTTTCAAAGCTTTCGGATTCATTGCATATTAAAAGTTTATAAATTACAAAATTCTAAATCTATTCACACTTACAGAAGTAATGCTTTCGTAATTGAAATACAACGGTAGAGCGGTAGAGCGGTAGAGCACTAGACTGCTAACCCGAAAGTCTCGAGTTCGAATCAGTAGAACGTCGCTGGGTTTACACAGCGTTGACGGGTCATGTTATGGAAAGTAATGGCGGCTGGACATGGTGCTGACCACACTATGCCGAGTTCACAGAAACAGGTGAACCCTACTTCACCTGTTTCATGGACCGTCAGGTTCGAAAAGGGAATCCCCCCCCCCCATCCTTTTCCTTTCAAAAAGTGTAAATAGTTTAAATGTAACCGAACCAAACAACCACACTACCCTTCAAGGCGTCGTAACTCTTGTGAAGCGTAAAACCTATCCGCAAACACGTCATAAAAACCTACGCCTCAAAACCAGTTAACCAACCGACACATTAACACGTCACTCTTGGCAACATGACGTCATACACAAAATAAAGTGCAATCACTCTTTAAAAAAAAATAAACTTTCCTCCCCCTGTTTTAAAAAAAATATTTTTTTCACCAAACGGTAGCCGAGACATCAATAACTACCCCTGCGTGTCAAGTCACCGTACGGCCCACCTAGGAGGCGAATAAACGGCCATTAAGATAGACAGCAGGTGGAGGGAAGACATGCCGAAACGAATTTCATCGGTAACTTCAAATGGTGAGAAAATAAAACACGTGTCGTCACTCAGGATTTTTTTTTTTGCAGGGGTTGGGGAGGGGGGGGGGGAGTTGGAGCTTAATGAAGAGTCGGAGCTTAATGGAGTTTCGAGCTGTGGTGTTGGGGGTACGGCGTGAGTTTCGACATTGGGTCTTCGCTGGTGAGTTGAGTTTAGAACAGGGAAATCGTGGAGGTTTTGGAGGTACATTGGGGGTAGAGGAATTTGGTGTTTAGGTCTTCGCTGTTGGGTCAGGATGAAATGGGGAGGGGGGGGGGTGCTGAAAGTTTTATGGGGGAGTTAGTGTTGGGTAGATTGTGTGGACAGATTCTTAACCCGGAAGTGCGAATACATAGTGAGCGAGACAAAAACATCAGGTGTTGTGATTGTAGGCAACTTGTCAAGGGAGGCTACTCCGTGCATAGTTTTCAGGGGAGGCTACTCCGTGCATAGTTTTAGCTGGATTATCTGTTGTTTTTACAACTAGAGACTGACTTGATTGATTTATCAAAAATTCCCTTTAAGATCTATTTCATTGTGAAATTCATTATCAGTTGATTTAATGATTTTTTCTCAATTTTTAAAAATTAGATTTAATTTATATTGGGTATAGTCACATGATCTATTTGACCTAAATTGTAGGTTTTTATGGCATGGGTGGTAATACAAAGGAAGCACATCAAGGAGTTATGGTTCTTGTATTCAAAGTTATGGGTCATCCATAAATGACGTCACGCTTTTTTGGACCATTTTTACCTCCCCCTCTGTCACAAAAAGCAAGACCCCCCCCCCCCTAAAATGACGTCACACCTCAGCCTACAACCCCCGCCCAATCAAAATTACTGTTGAATTTTTCTTAAAACATCAATATTTTTCCAAAATTTTGTCAGAACTCTGTCAACATAGCGTATTTTGATCAATTCCTATTACAATTTATCAAAACCGTTTTCTAAAACGCGAAATAACGGCTAAATCCCGTTTTCCAACATTGCTTTTTTAAAATGCAAAAGTGCAACGTCACACCATCTTGAACCCCCCCCCCCCCCTCATCACACACCGTCACAAAATTACGGACCCCCCTCCCCCCTACGAGTGTGACGTCATTTATGGACGACCCCCTTATTAAGAAATATAAATGAATGACTCTAAAAGTTAACATTTTATTTAGTTTTTAGTGTTCACAACATTTTTTCCCCTCTTATCAGACTGCAAGTTTAGGCAATAATAGACACAAACACCTTCACAGCAAAACATCAATTAAGTTGAATTTTAACTTTCTTGAATTCGTGGTGGTCTATTTGAAGTTATCTGCCAACTCAAGGTGGCTAAATTAGAACATCAGAAAACTCACCTTTTCCACATTATGACAAAAAAAAAATGAAAAATACATCTAAAAAAAATATTTCTTAAAACTCGAGGCAAAGGTTACATATGATCAATGTTTTCAGTCTTAAAAAATTGGCATTTGAATTCAGACAGCTACAAACGGTTTTAGACGCCATCAATGATAAAACAAGTGGAACACCTAACGTGAAACTCAGAGGGAAGCTTAATGAAAAAAACATGCGGAGGTTTTTAAATGAGGATACAAGGGAAACAACTTAACAAATTAGAGGGAGATAATTAACCCAATCACCCGATATGTTACTGGTGCTATACCTTTTTTTAAAATTTCATATTTGGAACTAATTTTGAAAAAAAAATATTAAAAGGTGTGAGGGGAAAACAAATTGATGAGAAAACCTACACGGACCATAATTGTTTTGGAAGCAGTAGCGTAGCGAGGGGGGGGGGGGGACATATGTCCCCGGGCGCCGACCTTAGGGGGGGCGCCAAATTGAAAGTTTGAGGGGGGGGGTGCAAATGAAAAGTTCGAGGGGGGGGGTGCGAATCTAAAGTTTGAGGGGGGGGGGGGTGCAAATCGAAAATTTGCTCCCAAGGGGGCGCCAAATTGAAAGTATGTCCCCGGGCGCCGGGAAGGGTCGCTACGCCTCTGTTAGGAAGCGCATCTAAATTTAAAATAGGTTTGGAAGTAATTTTCTAGAAGGCCTACAATATATCTATAACGCTAAACATTTTTTGTTGTGCCATGAAAAGCAACTCCCCTTGGCCTAGAGGCGTTCAGGGAAATAGACATGAAAATTATAACTAGAATCTAATAAATGAGGGCAATTTTGGGAGTGAGGGAGGGGGGGGGAGAGGGAAGGTTCTGAAATTACTTGTACAAGGAAGACATCCTGTGTTTTACTAACTTATTCGATGGACGTAAGGACATGCAGCTTAAAATGAGTTTTATCTAAAGCGTCCTTTAACTTTGTTGCCAGGTGGTACGGATGTATAGCAGGTACACTAGCCAGCTAGATCTTTATATATCATTTCTGCTGTTACAGTTACACAGCCAGTAAAACATCCAGCTGAATAATTAGCTATACTGCTAGCTACTTCAAAACACGAGCTTGGAAAAGATCAGTAGTCAGTTACGCAGAATCAGCCGGAATGTCGTGGGCCCAACTTGGAGGAATCGCTTAAAACCGAGTATGATGGAGAGATGTGGTTGCGTCCCTTTGTTAAATAAGAGCCCACATGATAAATGATAATGATAGGGATGATCTGATACAGCCGATTAAACAGTCAACTAAAAAGCCCTGTTTTTAAATTGTCATTGTACGACTGTCGAATATTCTAATTACCTTGACCTGATAACTAACACTCTTAATTAGTTTAACAAGACAGGACATTTTAATTACACTGACCAATTAGTAAGTGTACTCTGTTATTAACTTCACCAAAGAAACTGGATGTATCACACGAGCATTTATAACATACAAACAATAAACCAAGCATTAGATTCAGCGTAGTTTGTTATGTTTCAAATATTTTGAAAAAGCCAAAAACAGACTGGCCTCATCTAGGCAGAGTTTGACAGCCTCGACTCCAATAGTGCACGACGCTAAGATTTGTTATCTTGCTCCATCTCATGCCTTCAACCAACAAAACATGTCTAGTGCTAATTTAGTAAACCAACGTACGCACAAAAATCATGGTTCGTTGACCCCCCCCCCCCTTCCTCACCTTTTGCTATCTAAAGAAAACTATGTAACAAATAAAACTGTAGTTTATAAAAAAAACGGTCATGTTTGTTTTGATCAAGCAAATGCCATTTCAAAACTTGGCTATTCGTAAAAACAGCAATAGATTAAAACAAAATAAAACCAATTTAACAAAACTAAAATCCTATCCTCTGACTTACTCGCGGATAAAGACACAATCAGCAAGCACTTTTAGGCGATAACGAAGACATACAAATTTAAATTAATTAACTAATTAAAACAAACGCTGCTCCAGGATAAGCCAGATTATAATTAGAAAAATAAATTGTAAATTCCTTCACCCACCCCGTCCCCCTCTTAGCAATAAAAATTGAAAGTTTGCATAAAACGTACAGTGCGTGTACATATATTTTTACCTTATTCATCGAGTTCCCAATTTTAGAATCCGTTTTACGAAGCAGCGGCCTGGCGCGGTCTCACTGTAAAAGTCGCGTACTTACAAGACGTACAAACACAGCAGGACGATAATTAGTTCATTAACTTTATTACCATTTTTTTTCTTCTACTCCATTAAAACTAATTGTCATGAGTTGAACTGTAATTATAATTATACTATAATTATATAATTACTAATTTAGCTGTTTAAAGTAGAATACCTAGGTTAATAACAATTTAAATTTGGTAGTTGCAAATTATTTTTCCTTCAAAAACAAGTAGAAGTAAAAAAATATATGAAAAAATATTTTTTTAAATATAGTCATTTGACTAAATCTACTAACTGTTTTTA